GGGAAGGCAATAAAAGGGAGAGGTTTTCCTAAGCGTGGTAAGAATCCCCAAATTCTAAAAGTGTTTACCTTTCAAGTACAACATACACAAAGCTAAGGACAAACCCGTAGGAAATGGGCCAAGGTTGTGAGACACAAGATGCCTCAGGTCCTGGGAGAGGCCGACAGGCTGGCAAGCAGGCCAGACCTTCGAGGAAAATTACCTGGAGATGGCTATTTTAAGATGTAAAATATGCAGCTTCCTTTCCAGGTCCTTTATCTTGCAGATATAAAAGCACCACACCGCAAAGTCATCTATACAAAATGCTTTCTGTAGTGGCCAAAAAAAAAAGTTGAAAAACAATGCAGACGCCAGAAGAAAAAAACAAAACAAAAAAACAAAAACCCCACCCACTTTTCTGCTTGGGGTGTGGGCAGGCCATTGGATCCCCAGGGCCTTTCGTTCGCCCTAGGATGCGAAGACCCTGAGGCCGCCGCCCCCCAACTTGCCCCGAGTCTGGCCGCGTGTGGCGGTGCTGTCAGGGCTCCACATCGCGTCCCTGCAGCCAGCAGGCCTCGCGCACCTGAGTTTCGTCACAGCGCTTCCTCCCCACTAGCCTGCTCGCCTGCACCCACCGCCCCATTGGCGGGCTCGTCTTGTTCCCAGGCGCATGGCGCAGCCGCACACGTGCGTGCCGGGGAGGAGCGTCGCACAGGTGCTGTTACGTTCCCGCCTCGAGGGTCTGGAGAACGGGCTAAGGGACGCGCTCGGCCGACCGGCAACGGTTGGCGGGTTGGGTGAAGGCCGGCGCCCGGATGGGACTGCGGCTGGATCCTGGCCGCGTCTTCTGGGCCAGGTAAGAATTTGCAGCCAGTTCTCCAGCCCATCTCGTATTGTGATAGATGGTTTAAGAGTAAGAACTCAGAACTCTTTCCCTTCTAATAGTTCTCCTCCAACCGCAGCGCCCCACACCCGGTGACAGACTGGCCTAAAGGGTGGCATTAGGGAGGGTAGTGAGAGCCCAGAGCTTCGTTAGAGGAAAAGTGTAAAGGGAGGGCCAGTAAACTCAAAAGTGGTGAATTAGAGCTGGCCGCGGTTTCCCCATTTCTGCCAAGTCCAGAGGGGAAAAGGGGAAAAGATATGTCCATGTCCATCAGATCCTTCTCTCAGTGGTCTAAGTGTGCCCCAGTGGTATGAGCTCCCCCACTCTCTAGGCCTTGACTGACAACTGCTGGGAATGCCACAATGTACCATAGGCAACCTGCAGGGCAGCCCCTTAGGAGGCTGGATGGAAGCCCCGCCCCTCCCCACCCTTAAGGTATACTTTTGAAACAGGCCAAATGGTTAGGCAGCCATGAGGATGGCTATGGGGTAACACCCCAGGAGGGCCAGAGTAAGCAGTGAAATGCCTACGGGTAGTTCGCAGGGACCAGTGAATCTTGGACACAAAAATTCAGGGGCAGGGCAACAAGTGCTTTGGACCTCCATTCCAACTTCAGACCAGCCCTAGATTAGTGGCTATCTACATATAGGGGCCTCTGAGTAAATTTAAGGTGAACTAGCCTCATGGCTTAAATAAGCCAGGATGGGCAATGACTGGTCTGAGGCCTTGTGAGCTGGAAGGAAATTTCTACAGGACCCAGCAGGAGCCCTAGTTAGACGACCACGGGGGCGGGGAGACACTCGTCAATATTTTGGCTCATTGCAGAGTGAGATGTTCCTTGCCAGGGCCTTCCTCTGTCCAGTCTTTGTCTTGCTCACTATGGAGGGTGACCCCATTAGTGCTGAGAACAGAACAGTCTGAGGCCTAAAACAGGGCAGCAAAGAAAGCGTGTTCCCTTGGAGCTCTGCCTCCCTTGGCCAAGCTGGCCATGGAACCAAAAGCAATGCGGTCATTCAAAAGGAAGCCTCAGAGGTGCCATCTCCAACAAAGGCCAAAACCCTCTAGTGGAATTCTGAGGATGTTTCAAGCACCTTAGTGACCACCACCAACAGGTCCCTTATAGCCTGGCCCAGCTAGAGAACAATCTTCCGACAGGGACAAGTAACCAGGAGCCACTGCCCACTCCAGTCAAGCCTTGTATTCTATGTAAATGGCAAAGAAATTTGAGCTTTATCACTTACTGGTCCTTAGAGCTAAAAATTCTTGGCTACCACTGCTTGAACCACAGGTCTGAAAGGCAGTTAGGTAGACTTGGGGAACTGGACCCAATAAGAGCAACCAAAAAGTAGTGTCACTCAGATAAAGGAGGAACCAGAAAAGTTTTTCTCAACCTATTAACCCATGCCTTCCTTGAGTAAACAAACATGTTAAACCTTTGTCCTGACCTAGTAATACAGTACTGATCCTGAAGTGGGGGTTATAATCCTAAATCCATGGGACACTTGGGGCCTGAATGGGTTGTACAAGGTGAACATTTTCCTGAAGACTTCACCCCTTGGTTATCATCTTCTATTTTTGTAAACACTTTTGTAAAGTCCCTAATCCAGATTCAGAACTACAGACTGCATCAGAGACACAACTGGCCAATGAAGGTGCTCAATCGTAGTTCAACTCAAAAATATATCACTTTTCTCCTTTCAGATTAGTACACAGAATGGAAGAGACTGCATACTGACAAGTGTGGTGGGGGGGGGCGGAATACACTGCTCGTAGGAGCTAAAGTAGGAGGTCTTTTCTGGGCTGTATCTTAGTATTTTTAATATTAATATCTACCATTTGACACAGCCATTTCTCTTTGGAATTTACCATACATACATATAGATCTGAGTTAATAATACACACATCATAGCATTTTTCATAAATGTTAACCCAAATTTTGTTAAGTAGGAGACTCTTAAAACATCAGTACATCCAAATCCAAGACAATTAAATGCTATGAGGTTGTGCAGAAGAAAAAAGTAGACCCATATGGGCTATTCTGAAACAGGTTCCAAGATACACTGATTGGGAAACAGGCAGTAACAGAACAGATGTGTGCTCAGCATGGATATTCTTTTCAAGGAGAAAACAGGGATCAAGGGTGAAACGGAGTCTTGCTTTTCAGGCTTTCCAGCCTTTTGTACTGTTTGAATTTTTACTGTTATGCGTGTCACTTAAAAACTAACGAAAGTCCCCACTGCTCCCATTCCTTAAAAACAGGCAATGCTGTACTCACTCACCTTTTTGCGGCCATTGTGCTATGGACCCTCAGGCCACAAACCAGCCAGACCACTCCCTCCTCCCAAGTCTTCAGAAAGTTCCAAGCAGGTCCCATCACATGGAAAGGGGAGGAACCCTGCACTTTATCTTCCCACCCAGAATGGCAGGACCTCTGTCTGGGCAACAGGCTACATTCAGTACAGCTGTGATTGGATTTACACAGCAAAATGGGCACATGAAGTTCAAGCTAAAATGTTTTATGAAATTCAGCATTTGTTTCTGTGTGTGTTACGGAGGGTGAATATTGAAAAAGATGGTGATGAGGAATAATCTGAAGACAGTTTAAAACCATAGTGGTAGAAAAAATGAAGCAGAAAGTGCTAGATTTTACTAACAGAAGAAAACAGACTGCATTCAGGAGTCTCACCAGTAAAAGTTTTATAGTATTGCATTTTGATTACAGGTGTGTAAATAAAAAACTTGGGTATTACCCCTGGTAAAAATGGAGAACCAACTTCCTTTAGATTAAAACAGTAGGTCTGGGGACAAAAATGAACCACATGCTGCCTGGGATGGAGAGAGCGAGGTGGACAGGAGAGGACTCACCAGCTCAAGAAACCCCAAGGCTCAAAGAATCTTCCAGAGGAAGAGACCAGGTTCTGAGTGGTATTTCCCCAAATAACCCTGCCCCAGGGATGTGGTTTGGGGAAGCCCCAAACCCACAAATTGCAGGTGCTTCTGGACACATGCACAAGTGGGTAAAGACTTCCCTCACCAGTGCCTCCCAGTCTTGTGCAGAGGCCACAAAGTGGCATGTGGGCCACTGTTGACCCGGAGTGGGTAGATGCCAGAAACACACCCAGAAAGGTTTGAATCACAGACCAGTGGTACCAGGCCATAGTTCTTGTGCCTCTAGAAAACCCAAAGTCCCCAACAGTAGAGGAGAGAGAAGAGAGTTGGGGGAAATCAAACCAGAATTTTTCCAATGACCACTAAAGAGAAACTCAGCAACTCTTGCCATGTCTTTGACCCTGAGAAGTCACCTGAAGGACACAGCTGCATGAGGCTGTGATTAGATGGGAGGGAAGGCATGGTGTGCTTCCTACAAAGCTGCCTCTGAGGTCCCTGTGGCTCAGTGACCCCTCTCCTGTCTGGCCCAGAGCAGGGACCGGTGAGGCCAGGCAGAGGGGAAACAGTAAAAACAGCAGCGGCAGGCTCTCCAGATCAGCCAGCACCATCTGAGGCAGTGTGCTCCCTCCAGACCCTGCCAAACCCACAGGCAGAGGTCACCACCAGATCAGCACCAGGGGCTCTGTCATAAGGAGCTTTCTCAAAAAGAATCCTTTGGAATTCAAACATTCATTCAGTGTGTATTCCAATAGAGTCAGATCTACTACTCAACCTGGACTCAAGTTTTTGAGGTGGGAAACCTCACTATCCATGGTTAACTGAGGAAATCACTGCCACAGAGAGAACTTGAATGGTGGATGGGGGGGGGTTGAATGGGAGGATCTTTCTTCCCCAAGCTGTTTGGACAATGCCACAGCATGACTGACAGCTGCTTGGGCCAACATTCATGTCCCTGACCTGAGAAGGGAGCTGCTCAGCAGTGAGCCTCTATCCTGACCCCCTACCCCCAGGGGTCCCCCAGATCAGAGCCCCTAGGAGAAGCACAACTCTGGAGGGCTCTTTCCCTTGCCCACTCCTCAGATATCAACACTGTTCATCCTCTAGAATAGCTAAGCCCTGCCCCTGAAGCCTGACTTATGGATGACACTGGGTTTACTGTATCTTGAGGAGCCAGGAGCCAAGAGAAGGAGCTTGGCATCCTGGTTCTCTGTCCTTTGCCCAAGAGTCACCAAAAGAAAAATGTATGGTCTCATAGCAGGCGCAGCATCTTATTTCTTTTAAAAAATAAATATTTATAAACTTAGGGAGGAAGATTCAAAGAATCAGAGTATTTTTCCCTCCAAAAGCACAAATGTCTCATGAGTCAAATCAAGGTAAGTCCACCAACCCATGAACAAAACAACCCCCCCCGAACTCTGCCTTGAAGGGCAGAGGAGCTGATCTTTGTCTCTGAGCCCCTTAGTCCCCCTTGGTGATCAGGTCCTCGATGTAGGCATCCAGCTCATCATCTGTGTTGATGTCTATGTCCTGGAATAGAAAGGAGCAATCAGCTAGGGCCCAGAAGGCGGTGTGTGTGGGGGGGGTGCCACCTCCCCATCCTTCTCACAGGCAAAGGAGCCTGAGCCCAGGATCCCCAACCCCCGCCTCCACCCTTGCTGTCAGGCCTGTCCCATCTTGATCATTCTCCCCCTCCCCATCCTCTGTGCACAGATGACGCCCAGATTTCTTGCTCCTGCCCTGCCTTTACCCCAGGTTCCCAGTGCCTTAGATGTGTTACAGACTTCTCAGACTCAGTATTCAAAACAGCCCAACTGCATCACCCTACCCCGGCTTGTGCCCATCTCAGTACAGGCTACCACCTTCCCTCACCCAGGGGCTCAAGACAAACATTAGTATCACCCCTGTTTCCTTCCTTCTCCCCAAATATTACAAATCTGTCTTTCTCACAGTCACCATCCAAGATTCAGGCCACCAAATCTCTCACCCAGATAAGTGTGGGAACCTCCTCACCCAAGCCCTAGCTTCTAACTTCCACCCAACTCCAGGACTTCCTACAACCAACCACAGTAAGTATCTTAGGTTGCAAAAAGGACTGTGCCATACCCCTCCAGGGACGGCCCACCTCACGTAGGCCTGCCTCTTCTATCACCCACAAGTCCCTGCCTTTGACCTCAGGTCCTACTCTTCTCTCTGCCCAAAGCACTCACATCCAATCTTGTATGACTGATTCTACTCAGCTCAAATACCCCCTTCTTAGCGAGAACATCCTAGTAAAGTGGCCTCCATGTTTTCCTTCTCTTGTATTTACTTCATAGCACTTCCCCCCATCAATAATTCTGTGCACCAGACTGTTGGGCCATGAGGGTAGGGATCTTATCTTGCCTATCTGGTTCACCCGGTATCCACAGGACAAACACAGAGCAAGTCCACAGTTTTCACTGCCCTGGTGAAGGACTAAGACCCTACAGGGGCACTCCCCACTTCTGGGCAACCCAATCCCAATCTGGGCGTCATCTGGAAAAGCGAGAACTTTTTTCTGTTTTATGGCTTGGAGGATTCTCAAACCAGGTTGTAAACCAGAAGATCTAAACAAGGGCAAAAATCTGATACCGTGGGTCTGGCTGGGATGAGGCCCAGGCAGCCGCACCACCTCCAGCCCTTCTGGTCAGGATGCTGTGCAGCCAGGGTTGGAACCACAGATTCCTGTGAGTGGGGAGAAGGGAGCAGGAGGTGCCCAGGCCCCCCTCCCTGAGACACCAGGTGGTCCAGCTGCAATGAGAGGGCTGCCTGGCTCACCTCCTGCACCTTTTGCAGGAGCGCCACGATGTTGGTCCTCAGCTTCTGCAGCTTCTCCTCTGTCTCTCGGAGCTTTCTCTCAGAAGTGCGCAGGCTCTCCTCGGAAGCCTTGGCCCGTGAGTCGGCACGGCTCTGGTAGGAATGGCACAGATTCTGGAGTCCCACTTCATACTGTTTGAAGTACTCTTTCTGTAGGGAGGGAACCCACAGGATGATTGCATTAACTTACAGGGGCCCCCAGGGTCCCTCTAAATTAGCACTAGTATCCCCACCCTGGCTCAGCACAAGGATGTTCAGCGTGAAGGGATGTCACACACAAGGGACAAGCGGGCTCTCTAGCTCCAGAGTGGAAAAACCTGATGCCCATCTCATGGGGCTGCCATGAGAGGGAGATAGGATCACCTGATGTGAAGCCCTCAGCCCTTGGCAGACAGCAAGCTATTAGTGAGGGATGATTCTTCAATTCCAGTTGGCACAAAAAGGACGAGTTCCTCTCCCAGCTCACACCTTTCTAACCTCACCATAGTCCTCTCAGCAGCCCATTCCAAGTCACGCCCCACAATGTAAGAACAAAAAGTTCTCTTCCAGAAATATTTATCAAGCACCCACCAGTGGCAAATACCTTCAGATTTGTGTAGTACACTTCTATAAGCAACATCAGAGCTTTTGCTATCTTTCCTGAGTACCTGAAACTTCCAAGATGTGGGGTAGTGATGGTAAACTAGCAGTTTCTCTAGACATGAGGCTTTTCAAACTTTTAAAAGGTAGCAGAACATTTCAAAAGAAATGTTACATGGAATCTAATTGTAAAAAAATCTGAGCAGTATCTATTTTCAAAACTCAAATTTATAACATCATTTACTCTTAAATCACCAATGAGAATAAGGCCATTTTAATGAAAATGAGTGGTTCTGGCTGACCACTGTAGTCTTATCAACTCATGTGTTTATATGCTTCTATAAAGATGTATGAGCTACCGGCATTGAAGAGCTCCTGACTGATTTTAAAAAGTGTTACTGGCTCCTGACTGCTGTTTTTAAAAAGTGTGACCGGAAAGTACTTAACTCTGTCATTTACCTTACAATGTAGAGTATCCTATTAAACCAAGATGGCAAAAGAAATTTGAAGTCTTATGTAAAAAAATTATGTTGGCAGCACAAAATAAGTGAGCAGACTCCAAAATATTAAAACTCAGTATACGATGTCTTGAGCCTATGATTAGTTCTTTAACTCTTTAAACTTTTTATTTATTATAGATTTAAATGGTTATATTACTTTTTTAAAAATATGTATTTAAATCTAATATTTGCAGGACTCCTGAGAACTTTATGGAACTCCTAGTCCAGTATGATGGCAAAAAAGATCTTTTACAGACTGACAAGAGCATAATGAACATTAGACTGTTGTGTCCCTGACATTAAAAAAATTAGTTTGAGTTACTTTAGACATTACAGTCAGCAGACTATAAAGCTGATGCATTGAGATGATGGACTCTGAAAAACAAACTGAGGGTTCTGAAGGGGAGGGGGTGGGAGGATGGGTTAGCCTGGTGATGGGTATTAAGGAGGGCACGTTCTGCATGGAGCACTGGGTGTTATATGCAAACAATGCATCATGGAATACTAAAAAAAATAAATAAAAATTGAAGTTGATGCACTGGTGATATACCTCCTTTTATAAGCATAAGCTAACAGACTTTTAGGCTCAGATGATCCTGGCTATGTTTCTGGTCTGAGCAGCAAAGACCCCACTGCACTCAGGCTTCGCTGAGTCTGACAGCTTCAAGCCAAAATCAACAAATCTGACTGACAAGAGGATGCCAGGCCACCCTAGCCATCCTATTAGTGGTTTGTTCCTGGGATTTGCAGAGAGCACCTGCAACCTCAACAAGCACAAGAGTTGAGGCATGGAACTTTCTGAGGAAGCTACCACGAGTTCTGCCATCCTCTAGCTTCCTTTGCCAGCACCTACCCTCTCATCTCATGGGGAAGCAAGGCAGTACTGGAAGAAGGGCAAGACCCTTGTCCTAAAGAAGAAGTACCTGGGTTCAAATCTGGGTTCTATCACAATAGACTCTTCACCTCTCTGAGCCTGTTTCTTCAACTCTTTTTTTTTAAGTAGAATGGAGATTTAAAACCCCATCTTTTCCTCTTTGGCAAACCATCAAGCACACAGCTGCCATACGAGGGCCCAAGGTCTTGAACATACTAGCCCTGCAGTTTCAATTCTAGTTCTGTTCTCTAGAAACTCCTCCCTAGAAAACTTAAGCTATTCCAACCACAAAATTATCTATCCCGCTCAATGAAAGACAACTCCCAGATCCCATATTCAGCCCTGGCCTTCCTACCCCTCCCAAGTGCCCAGTCCCCAATCTCCACCTGCCCACTGGACATCACCAGAAATGTAGGTGCTGGTGCTTCCAGCCCAACACATATCACAATTCATCACCTCTCTTACCCTCACCCTCTGTTTTCTCTCCCAGTTAATAGCTCTGTCATCACTTCCCACAGGCCTGAGACATAGAGAAGCACATGGCCTCTGCCTCCTCCCCCATCACTTGCCTCCAGTCAACAACCTCTGACATGGCCCTTTCACCCACCAGTCCACCCCCTCCACTCTGGCTCAAGTTCCCGTTCCCTCACCTCTGAGCTGTCACAACTGGACCCGCCCCCTTGCCCCTGCATCTCCCATCCACCCATCCCACCCAAACATACTACCACAAGAGGTATCCTCTTAGGGCGGGGTCAGCACACTAGAGCCCCAGGCCAAATCAGCCTGCCACCTGTTTTTGTAAATAGAGCTTTACTGGAGCACAGCCATATCCATTCCTTTACAAACTGTCTACTGCAGCTTTCACGCTGTAATAGTGGAGTTCAGTAGTTACCACAGAGACTATATAACCCACAAAGCTGAAAATATTTGCTAACTGGCCCTCTACAGAAAGTTTGTTGACTCTTGCCCTAGACCAGGTTCAGACTGACAATTCCCCCAGCTCAAAACTTTTGCTGGCCCTTCATTTTATTCAAGGTTTAAACCACTATGCCTAAGACCAGACATTCAAGACTCACCATATCCTGGCTCTCAGGCCCTCTTCTTGCCTAATTGCTCACCACACAGCCTGCTGCCCTGACTTGGGAAGTTTCATCCCTCTGACCCCTTGCTCACAAAGTCCCCTTACCTCAAAGCTTCCCTGTCACTTATAGAGGCACTTCAGACTGCTGCTCTCTCCCTTCCCAAGGCTGCCACAGCCCAACCACCTGCTTCCACAGCACTTATTGCTCTCACAGTCTCATATCCAACTGCTGGTAAAAATTCAGGCTCTATTGAATCCTAAGCCACTTGGAGGCAGGACTCTCTTCTGCTGCTCATTAAGAGGTCCAGCACAGGGCCTGTGCCACATCAGCATAGTAACACCCAGTGCTTACTTTCAACACATCTCTACCTCGCTCTAAGAGTCATTTTAGGTACTTTGAGCCTAAGTTCTTCACTGTTGTCCGGGACAAGTTTACTCCCTCTGCTGGGGTAGAGAAAAAAGGATATACTCATTCTAAAATGTCAAACCAGGCCTGCTGTCCCGAAGTGAGGACTCAGCCCCAGCATCTTATGGTAGGGTGTGGTTGGCTTCCGCACATCAATCATATCCAGCTACGGGGGAACGGGGAGTGAGGGGACACAGCAAGGGCTGGCAATCACAAAAAGCATTAAGCTGAGAGGTCATACAGAATAAAAATAAAGGTCAGGCCAAACTCACCAGAGGAAATGATATTAGCTCATCTGAATTCATAGCACTAAGTTCCTTCTTGGAGATGGGGAAACTTGGAGGCAGAAAGTACCGTAAACAATTCCTAAAGAAAGAAGGCGGCGGGAACAGAAATTCAGAATAGCAAGAACAAGTGTGGAGAGCCACAGCTAGCCCCAGAGTGGGAAGACACATTACCGGAGGATCTGGACAAGCAGGTCAATAGTCTCGTGGTTGGTGCTCGGGGCAGTGGTGTCAGGCTCTATGCGGATGCAGTCAGAAGTAGAGGGCTCTGCCATGGCTACAGCCTGCTGGGCCGCCGCCGCCTCCTCCTCCTCCTCTTCCTCCTCCTCCTCCTCCTCCTCCTCCTCCTCCCCGCCCTCCTGCTGCGTGTCGGGGCTCTGGTACTCCGGAGAAGGGGGCTTCATCAGCCGCACATCCTCACTGCCTTTCTCTACCCTAGGAGGCACACAAGCACTTGTGTCATGTGTGCCCCAGGCGCCCAGGATGGGCCACCTTCTGGGAGGCCAACTCTGTCAGCCTCTGGAAAGGAGCATTACCAGCGGTCTCTCGGAGTGGTGTCTGTGGGCACGTAGTCAAATTTCACCTTCCACCGCACCACATGTTTGCCCACCTCCACAGCTGTGACGCGGCCTGTGTACCACTCCCTGTTCACACGCACCTCCACGTGCAACCCTTTATCTGAAAGAATGAGGATGGAACGGAAGTCAGAACACTAACAAAGTTCCCCACTCAGCCAGGGCCACCTTGAGAGAGGCGGTCCCAGGATTTGCAGAGACAAGAACCCCTAATGCTTGCCTGTACTTTGCCAGGAACATGAAGCCCAGCCACCCTGATCTCCTCCCCCATCTGTTGTGAGGGTGCCAAAGAGCAGCAGGATGAGTGACTGCCAGAGGTGCAAGCCAAGAAATTTGTGCTAAAAATACACATAAGGGTGTGCTATCTTCAGAATTCTTCTCGGGATCAGACTTGGAACCACTGCTACATAAGAGCCCAGAGCCAGGAAAGCCTTCGAGAGCCTTCAGGATAAACAGTTGCTGGCTGAGGAACCCCACTACCCTTTTCCCCCACAGGCTGCCAGGTACCTCCCCAAACTCACCTTTCTGAGCCCTCTTAAGATCAGCTGGGTCCTCTTCCCCAGCACTGTCCGAGAGCTGTAAGGAGAACAGAGTCTGTTAGAACCATCCCCAGTGCCCCCGAAAAAATTTTTACATGACTGGCGACCCAGGGTCATTAGCTGTCACCTCATGTTGTCTTATGTAGCCACTTACATCTCCGTGTCTCACCAAGAGCTGCTCTCTAAATCACTACCTTGAGTATCTACCCTTCTGCCACCTTTATAAACAAGACAGTACGCAAAGGAAAGTCACAAACACAGGGAAGCAAAGGGTTTCACAAGCCTCCCTGGTGTGTGACCTCCAGCCTGTGATGAGAGCCAGAAGCCAGTCTCACTCAGAAGCCTACCTGGCGCCATGTTTCTAAGTCATCTGTGTGACTAAGAGTCCTACAGAGATGAACTGGGCTTCTGGAAGGCTCAAATCACAAAACAGAAACGGAGCTGGTGCAGACTGCAACCCTGGGGAAGGAGGTTCTAACCTCACCTGGGACCACCTACCTCATTCAAGTCCTTCTTTTCCTCCTTCACAGCAAACTTGCCCCGCTTAGACCTCTCCTTCCTCCTCTCAGCCTCCTCTTCAGCTTCTTCTTCATCAGAGACCCCAAGAGTCCGCTTCCGACCAGGAGTGGTCTATAGCAAGAGGAGAGGGAATTGAGGGGCCCTGTCAGCCCTTGAAGTGCAGGAAGGTTCCATCTGGCCTAAAGGAGCTGTTCCACTTGTGTGCTTTTCAGTTCCCCCAAGGCTGAGCCTCCCGACATTACTCAGTATAGAGAAACCTCCTGATCCCTGTGCCCACAAGGACCTTTGCTCAAAGCTGTCATAGGGGGAGCCTCTCAGTTTACTTCTCCCTTAGCCTGCCTGGCCAGCCAGCTGTGACCTCCCTGAGACATGCTGACCACTGTTGCAGCCCAGCAAGGTGGTCACCAGGCTGCCAACCTACATCTACACCACAGAAGCTGGTGGAGGAGACTCAAATTTATAGCAGACCAAAACTCGAAGGGAGCAATGAAGAGCTCCCTGGACAGGAAACCAACTTGCTCTGTGCCCTGACCAGATCAAGTCCCTTCAGCTATTGAGACTCCTCCTCAGGGGCAACAGGAAGCTTTAGATTTGGTGATCTCCAGTGAGGCTCCCCCAATATAGCTTTGACACAGCCTGATTCCATTCCTACACCACTGAGAGTAGACTCGGGGCTGGAAGAGAAAAAGCATCTCACTGGGGAGAGTTTATTGGGTGGCTCTGGCTTCTTGACCACTGGAGTCTTGATGGCTCTGGGAGCTGGGACCTCCCGAGGGCTCTTGGAGTTGGGTAGCAGAGATGGTGACAGTGGCTGCACCACAGGGGTAGGCCGGGGCGCAGTCTTAACCAGTGTGCTAGCAGGCTTTCGGGGTGGCTCGGGTGGCTGCAGCAGCCTGGATGTACTGGCCTCCTCCCGAGCTGCCAGGGAAGGAGGCTTTGGGGTACTGCTGATGACAGGAGCCTTTCGGGGCTGGCTGGCTGGCCTGGGAGCTTGCAGGGAAGGGGGTCTGCTGGGGGCATTCTTGATCACAGCAGGTAAAGGAGGTGACCGAGGTCGCTGAGGTCTACGTGCAGGTTCCTAAAAGAGAACCGGAGAGAATTGAGAACGCTGATCCCAGCACGAGACACCTAAGGAAAAGCCCTTCCCCCCTTCCTGGGCTTTACCTCAGTGGAAGGTCTGGTGGTCACTTCCAAAGGCAATTTCTTCAGGTCAGCTTGGGACCGGATAGGTGTGGTTTTCTGCACAGCAAACGTGATGATGAGGTTGTTTGCATATGTTGGTACATTCAAGCAAACTCTTTGGATCCCTACTATGTGTTTGGGATAGTGGGCACATAAAAAAGAAAACCTAGGCACAGTTCTACTATTTTAAGATTCCCATTCTCACTAGGAGACAAAAAATAGAGACACTGTATCATCAGCAAACTACAGGATTCTATGTGATTAATCTAACAATTGAGAGACCAGGAAAAAGTGTCAATGGACTAAATTCCTATAAAAGAGGCCAAAAAAGGTAAGAAAAGCCTGATGGAAAAGGTCAGAAAGGACAAGTGGGATTCAGTAGACAGGGAGGCAGGCCTAAGACATCCAGGTTAGTGTGAACATCTGCACAGACACAGAAGCCAGAAAATAAAAAACTTTTTATAATAAAAATGATAAAGGGTTAGTACCATATTTACATCTCAAAAACCTGACAAATCAATTATGAAAAAAATACATGAGAAGCAGCTACCCTGAAACAAATAGACAAAAAAATTGTCCAACTCAAAAATATGAAAGAAATTCAAATTATAAGATGTGTACCTTTGCCTGTTGAATTTGCAAAAAAAACTTTAAAATAAACATACTGCTTGTAAAAAAACAGAAATCGATACATCTTCTGGGGAATGACTTGGAAGTAGTTATAATAAGCCATAAGATTTTACAAACCCTTTTACTCTTTCAAATTCACTTCTGGAAAATTATCCCAAGAAAAGTATGCACTAAAAAGAGTGTGTGTCATAACACATCATTTCCATATTTTTATTATAAAATATATGTGGTACATAGGCACCCATAAAAAATTAGAAAGATATGTTAATTAATGGTGGTTACCTCTCTGGTAGAATACTTATTTTCTGCCCACATTGGAACAAATAAACAAAACAGTTTGATTTTTTAAAATGATCATCATTAATGTACTCAAGAACCAGGGAGCCACTGAGGGTTCCTGTTCCTATCCCAGACAGACCTGACACAGGCTAGCTCTGACCACTGCCCATGACCCACGCACCTGCAGGGCTTCTAGTTTTTCCTGCTGCTGGCGAATTTTCTCTGTCAGCTGCTTCTGCTTCTCTTCTTGTGTCTTCAGGTCCTTTCTGAATGTCCCCAGGGGAACCTTCTGCTTCTGTTCAGAAGCCTCACATCTGTAGAAAGAGGGTGTTAAGGAGGTTGCGGCAAAACAGGGCCCTAAGTAGGACACGGTCCTTCCTCTTCAGCCAACCCATGCTGTCTCTCACCACAGCAACAACCTCAGGGTTCCCAAATGTATAGAATTAATACTCACTGCAGGACAGACATCTATTCTTATTTCCAGGGCACTTACTATTTGTAGCAAGACAGAGATGTGAGGATATCAGCACTGACCTCAAGATGCACAGCAAGTTATTTACCCAAAGGGTAGGGAGAATACAGTGGGGGAGAGAGGAGATACCCACAATCTCCTTGTTAGAGCCAAGTGCTCACCGGTCCTGCTCAGGATCAGGGTTCATGGAGCAAACCCAGGTGTCAGGGTAATCTTTTTCCACAGAACTCAGCTGGAAGGGGAGGGTTCGCCACTTCAGACACAAATCTATGACACAGAAAACACCCCCACAAACATCAGCCATGCCCCATACTATCTTTACTAAACAGGTTCCTCCCAACCAGGCCCAAGGCAAAGATATCCCCGACTTTCCATGGCTACAACTCTGCCTTCCTTACACAATGGTAATTCTTCTCAGGGACAGTGATCCCAGCAAGAACAGACACTTTATATCATGGACTTTCAATGTTCCCAGCCTCTCCCCCTCCCCCAACAGGACCCTGGCTCAATCATCACTCACACCATTAACAATGGGGTACCAAACCAAGTGATGCCTGGCAGGTTAGACACCTTCTGCCTCATTCAGGAGGGACAGGTGGGACTTGACACGGCCCCAAGGCTAAGCTCCCAGGCCCATCACCAAACAGACTCAGCCCCAGTGGGACCCAAAGTCCATGAATGTCAGTCAAGTCAGGAGGCCAGCAAGGGGATAGAAAGAAGAGGGTCATGGATTATGGTGGAGAGTCAAGAGGAGGTTCCGACCACCGGCTCACCACACTGGATGGTGGTTGGGATTTCCATAGCTCTCCGGCGCTTATAACGTAGCTCGCTGGATGGGGGCTGGTTCCAGTTGGCAGAGAGGTAGCCAAACTCATCCCAGAACTTGATGATTCCCCTCTGGGCTGGAAAGGAAACACCCACACATCATATTAGGAGCCAGCCTCTCGCTCTTCCTAAATTTACATCCTTGGGCACTAAGGGTATTCTAAGGTTGGAAGTGAACAGAAAGGGAATTACCAATGGCAATGTCCTTCCAATACTGTGCCAGGTGCTCCCCCATCGCCCGCAGCAGGTGTCGGTACTCCTTAGCATCAGCAAAGTCCTGCTTGTTGTGTGTAGGTTCCAGGACCAGGTAAGGCACATCAACAACCCCAACAACCCCACCGCATGCCCTGCAGGGAGGAAAAAAGACAACTCTGTCACCCCACTGGCCCACTGCCTTGGGCTGAAAAGCTCTCCTTGGGCAATACTCACATGCCCCCTTCCAGCTGTGGGCCCACTTTTTCATACATCTTGATCAGGCGGCTACAGTTATAGATGAACATGCCATCCAGGTCCCGGTGCTCAATGTTGACCCCAAAAACAAAATTCAGTTCTTTAGGTTCTTTAAGTGCTCTGAGAAGACACAATATAAATTTAAGCAGATCAACCCACGAACACACAAACACCATGTTCTTGGAAGATATGTTAGCTTAAGCTTAAACTTGAGACATGTTAAGGAATAAGTTTCGCATTTCCAGTCAAAGTGTAACCCATCAGACTTGGAAGGGAGATGGTACTGTGCAGTGACTCTAAGCATCCCTAATTAAAAGCATGTGACTTTGGCTGGCTTCTGGTAACAAAACAGGGACGTTAAGATTTAAGTATGAATGGGATACTGTGAAGCTGCTGCAAATCTCTGTGAAGATAGTTACATGGTGGACTAAACACAAGATCATACCTACTCCACTAATGTAGACAGTAATAAATTTTAAAAAGGTAAAAATTCACTAGAACAATGAACACGTATGTGAGGGAAGAGACCCTCATGTGATAAATAAAATCATGGAGCTGAAAAGCAGATGGATGAGCAGCACACTCACTCAGAAGAATCCAAAAACCTATGCCTGTGGCAGGAAGGCCAAGAAGCAGCAACCCAGGAATTCAATGTCCAGAGCCCCAAGAAGCTCCAGACATAAGGTGGGACATGGAGATCATCTAGTAAGTCAGGACAAGTGCCCATTCTAGATGAAAAAGGTCCAAAACTCAATCTACAGCATTACTCCACATTTGTAACCAGGGATAAAATATTAAGAGTAGATATTACCAGATGGTACAAATGTAAGGGAGTTTTAAAATATTTCTAAAACTGGTCTGTTTTACTAGTTTTATACAATGAGCATTTTATATAGCCTTTAAATGAAAAGGAGAAAAAAGAAGGAAAGAGAGTGAAGAGAGGGAGAGACAGGAAAAAAAAAAAAAAAGAAGGGAGGGAGGGAGGGAGGGAAGAAAGAACAGGAGTTGCCAGGAAGAGAGGTCTACCAGGGAGTGGGCCCACCCTGCCTTTTCCTAGCTCAGGAAAAAACCTGCAGTGGGTATTTGACAAGCATTTGGGATCACATCAATGGCTCTCTCAAAGCAATCTTTGTGACAGAATAGCAACCTCACAGGGTGGGGAGGGATTCCTCAAGCTCTTTAATTTTGAGTACAAAAGCTACGTAATTTTAAAAAACCAAAAGCCAGGGACACCTGGGTGGCTCAGTTGGTTAAGGGTCCTGGGATCGAGTCCTGCATCGGGCTCCTTCCTCAGCAAGGAGCCTGCTTCTCCCCCTGCCTACCACTCCCCCTGCTTGTGTGCGTTCCCACTCTCTGACAAATAAATAAATCTTAAAAAAAAAAAAAACAAACCAGCCATGGCACTCACCGCTGCTTGGCCTCCTTGATCCGCTTCTTGACATCAGCTTCTCTGCGCAGGGTAATGGCTGTGTTCTGGACCTGACGCAACATCACCTGGAAACGTACGTTGGCACCAAGTGAGGGGAGGAGGTGCTCTGGACCGCAGCAGGCAGTATTATAAAAAACATCTGAAACTTCTCAATTTAAATCACATGGAATCAAAAACACACTGTGGGGTAGAGAACTGCTCAGACCCCTTCACTACTGTGTGTGACCTGGGGCAAGTGACCATCTTCACTTCAGTCTCCCTTTCTATAAACTGAGAATACTAACAGTGGCCACTCCATATGGTTGTTAGGATGTTGAAATGATTAGCCAAGATTCTGCCACACAGTGTGTTCAATAATGATTATGGAAACATCATCTTAATATCCATTTTGCAGCTTTAGGGTAAGGAGTTCATGACTAGCCTAGAGCTGAGCCAGGCCAGCTCTGGGATGCTAATGCCAGAAATGCTAGACAATAGCTGCTCAGATCTGGGGCCTTACCCTGGAGTCCCGTGTGAGGTCTCCACCTAGGCGAACTTCTAAGGTCCGAGCTTTGCTCTCTGCCTCCCGTGCCTTCTCCTCAGCTGAAATCCAGAAGAAACCATGAATAAGGAATACAAAGGTTCAAAAACTCTTAATCATCCCTCCTGAATCCCACAGTGTAGTACCCGCTGGGCAAGATGTGTGTACACTGTCAAGGAACAGGAGAGCTGGGAGAGCAACCTCCAACCTCCCTGCCTGGAATGCAGTCAGTACAAAAAGGAAAATCCTTTTGTTTGGAGGTCCCAAACAAAACAGGCACTATTTATACTTGAGACATGTTTTTTAAACTTTACAAATGAACCAGAACAGGTCAAAAACTGCCCAAAGGAACCAGAGTTACATCCTCAGCAGGAGCTGGAAGTTATCCAAGTCCTCAGCCAATCACTCTCCATCAAGCAGCCAAGAAGCCCTGTCAGCATGGGAGACCTTGAGATGTTTGCCCTGGAGTCAGGAAAACCAATTTCGCAAGTATGTGGGCCAAAGAAAAGTGTGAGATTCTTCACTCTGAGCAAGCCAAGGAGTTGACACTGGTTTAGTTAAGTCCCTATAAATGGCTGATGAAGAGAAAGTAGAGTCTGGGGAGGAAAAACTGCTGAGAGGATTGGCATGCAGGGGTGCAAGAGGAACTAGACCCATGGTTCAGAACAGCCTGCCCCTGGGTGCTAGACAGAGTTTTTGGATCCTGCTTTGGCCACAAGCATCCCCCAGACAATCCCAACCTGATCCCCCCTCCTGCCCAGGGGGGTGGGGGGTGCACATTACCAATCCGTGCTACATGCTCAGCTTTCTTCACCTCCTGCTCTGCACGAGTCTTGAAACGGCTTGATGTGTACTTGTACATCCTGAAGAGGGGGAGAAAGCAACCTCAAGACCCAAGCAGCAGCGGGGTTGGACAGCAATTGAGCAACTCAGAAAGCACCCTGCCTTCCTGCCCCCTTCCAAGCTGCACTGTACTCATGATGAGTCAAAAACAAACTTATTTTTTTTAAAGATTTTATTTATTTATTAGAGAGAGAGCACGCACAAGCAGGGGGAGCAGCAGGCAGAGGGAGAAGCAGACTCCCCGCTGAGCAGGGAGCCCGATGCAGGACTCGATCCCAGGACCCCGGGATCATGACCTGAGCCAAAGGCAGACGCCTAACAGACTGAGCCACCCAGGCGCCCCAGCAACAAACTTATTTTAGCAAAATATCCAATTCCTTACTCCACTTGCCCCTTTCTCCATCTTTGATAAGCAACCCCACTACATACCAGGTATATCAATAATCCACAGCAGAAACAAATCTCAGCAATCAGCCAGGGCCTTTGCTCTCTCCTGTGTAGTGTCTAAAGGCCCCTTGGTCCTGAAGCTGAGAGGCTCAGACCGTTCACTGTGCCAGGCAGGGTACCCTCCATGTCACAGAAGGCACTCACACTCAACAAGCTTCACCAGCCAACCTCCACAGCTCTTCAGCCATCTGTGTCCCTCCCTCAAGACTTAGAAGTTTCTATGCAGTAAATCACAAGTAGCTTAAAGGCCCAGATGCATTCAACACTGTCAGAGCCTCTTATCATCACTCCTAGCATCACTCAAACAATGCCCCCGAGAAATACAGCCACGGCCCTATCCTCAGCTCAAGGGAACAGCAGACCAGGGTGGGCAGACCCCTACCTGGGCTTATATAGGCAGCAGGAGAGCCTCTTGGTCTGCACCTTGTGCCCATGGATGAAGATCCGCATCCGGGGATCAATATAAAGCACGGCAGCATAGGCACGGAAGGAGCGCCGCTCCGGCTTCCTAGAGGTGGCAGGAATAGAGGAGTGCTATCACCCACCCCACGACCAGCTTGACCAAAGATATGACAGAACAGCCTTTCTGCAGACCCTCCACCTCACATGTTGGCTTTTCTCACCACCCTGAAGGGTTGCTCCCTCCATGTGGGGAGCACACCCTTCACATCCCCAGCACAGGCACTCCACAGACATCAGACCCAGCCTTACCACTGGCCCCACCACAGACCCAGCAAAACCCATCCTGTCTCTAGGCTCGGTTTCCAAATCAAGGAGTTGGGGCAAGGGATCATTAATCTTTTCTTTTGGCTTAGCTGAGGAGCTGCGGTCCTATTCATCCTGTTTGTGGTAAGAAAACTTGGGAGTGCTCAGCTTCAACAACTCCAATACCGGGAAATTCAGGGAATGAGCCCCATCCCCCCTTCACTATTAAAGTCACCTCCTGAGCGTTCTCTCCCTGAGAAAATGGACCACCAGTTCCAAGCCTTCCCTCCCTTCCCAGCCACACTCACGTGCCCTCTGGGGAAGTCTCTGCCATCTGGATATCTCTTGGATTTGAGATTATGTCTAGCTCTGGCTCTCCATTATCCATGAGTTTGAGATTGAAGATGATCACCAGTGTTCCTGGGAAACAAATCCTCCTTTTGTCCTGCCAGGCACCACCTGGTCATCCCCACACCACTCATGGCTCCTGGATTCTAGGGGCTGTAAGCTCAAGCCTACTTACCACTGTCTCCAGGAATTTTCATGAACTGAGTCATAACTTCCTCTTCATTGCGGAAGGGAGAATACTTGTAGATGAGTTCTGTCTCAATGGCAAACTTCTCCACGTTGTCTGTGACAGGTTCCCGGGTCCGAGCATTCCAGGTGGGCAATGGGACTATCACCTTTGGAGAAAGCACGGGCAGACACTTTGAGGGAGGACCCAGAATAGCCTTCCCCCAAAATGTGCATCCATCTTGTCCCTCTCCACAGTGGCTCCACATTGCCCCAGAGGTGAGGTCCAAGCTTTGCAGCCTGACACCAGAGGCTCTGTGGCTTCTGCCCTTCCCAAGCCTCAGCCTCACAGCAGTAGGTCCTCTGGGATATGCTGATTTATGCCCTGGGGGTCTTTGCATGGGCAGTTCCCTGCTTGGGATGGCCCTGGCCATTCTCCCAATTTGATATCAATTCTTCTCTCTCTACTACTGAAAAGATATTTGTACTTATCTCATGAATCTGAAGATACATATAAACATACAACTCAGCAATTCCACTCCCAGGTTCTGGGAGTGTCTTCTGCACACATGTACCAGCAAACATGTAAGAGTAATATAAATATCCAAAACAGAATGGATAAATTACACTATCATATATTTATACAACGGAATAAGGTATAGTAATGACAATGAACAAACTAACAGCTATTAGCAACAACATGCATGGATCTCAAAAACGTTAGGTGAGGGGCGCCTGGGTGGCTCAGTCGGTTAAGGGTCTGACTCTTGATTTTGGCTCAAGTCATGATCTCAGGGTCATGAGATCAAGCCCCACGTTGGGCTCTGTGCTGGGCATGGAGCCTGCTTGAGATTCTTTCTCTCCCTCTGCCCCTCCCCCTAACTAAAACAAAAACAACAAAAAAACGTTATGTGAAAAAGACAAAATAGAAAAAAAAAAATCTATGGTATGAGCCCACTTAAATGAACATCATAAAATAGAGAAACTAAACTATTACTCAAGAATGCATACACAACACAGGTGCCAAAACTATAAAGAGAAACAAGGAAATAATCATTACAAAAGTTACCTGAAGGCGGTTCCTTCAGAGGTATGATAAGGAATACAATTAGTGAGGGGACACACTGGGGGCTTCTAGTATCAGTCTATTATGGCAACTACCTAGGTGTTCACTTTATAATTATTCTCTCAACTGTACCTGTATTTTAATACACTATTCCATATTATGGAATTTAATCTTATGTTTTTAAAAATCCTACCTTTATCAATTGTACCTCAATAAAATTGGGGGAAAAAAAATCCTACTCTTTCTTCTAAAAACCCTACCCTCAAGTGCCGCACCCAGAGGCTTAGATGTGCTCCTCTCCCAGCCAGCTGCCCAGGAGCCCTGTGGATAGATGACTGCTTGATTCCCTCTGTAAAGCAAACCAGTCCAGGTACCTCAAAATCTCAAATCAAATGGCCCACCCTAAGAATAAATGGATTCTGTAATTTTAAAAAGTGCCACGGTGATAAACTGTTAAGGGTTCTGAGACATTTTACTGGTTTCTAAGAAGCTTTATGCCTAATGGTATTCATCCCTAGAGCTGGTTTGGACACATTCCTACCCAGTAGAAAATGATCTATTTTGAAATCTTGGCTGAGTCTGCACTGGAGTACAATCCAAAATAGTGACCTTCTAGCACCAAGTAAGGAAAAAATTTCAACCTAGCCTTTTCACCCAGGGAACTGAATTCCATTTGTGTTCTGTGAATCTGTACCTGACTCTGCAACCCCCATTCTTCACAGCAGCCCCAGGTGATAACAGCATTGCTTTAAACAGCATACACTTCCACTGGCACCCATCCCGGCCATCAGGACACTTCCTTAATTTCAATGTGACCACTCTCCTGGTTTTCCTCCTACCCATCTGGTCACTCCTGTCTCTTCTGCCACCTTCTCCTCTCCCTGGAGGAAAGTATCCCTGAGATTCCCAGGTCCTCTTCTCACTCTGAACACTCCTTTAGGTGAGCTCATCTGCTACCAAGGATCCCAGAGCCCAGGTCTCCCAAGCTCACGACCCAAACTTAACTTTCCATGTCCAGGAGAACTTACACTCTTCACCAAAGAGCAGGATGCTACTCTCTTATTCTTCACCAGCTCCAAACAGTCCACATCATGCCCCAGCTACCACACCAGAACCTACATCATTCATGACCCTCCTCCCTTTTCCCCTCTCCAGTGATCAAACACCAGATTTGTGGGTCCCACATGTTAAAGGACCTCCCTGCTGTGGTCCTGCCAGGCTACACACAGCTAGGGAATCTCAACTAGTTTACTCCAACTCCTGTCTTTTCAATCCAATCACCACACAATAACAAAATGATTTTTTTGTGTTTGTTTGTTTTTGTTTTTTTTTTTTGAGAGAGAGTGCAAGCAGGCAGGGAGGGGGAAAGGGAGAGGGAGAGAATCTAAAGCAGGCTCAGCACTGGGCATAGCCCAATGCCGAGCTCCATCTCATGCCCTGAGGTGAAATCAAGAGTCAGATCCTTAACCGACTGAGCCACCCAGGGGCCCCACCAAACTGATCTTTTTAAAAGGGAATCTGATACTGCCACACCCTTGCTTAAGTTCCCTTTGAAGGCTGGTGTTAGTAAAGTCCTGTACTCACCAAGGCCCTGAGGTCAAGCCTGACCTAGCTCTCCCTGCTGTCCAGAGGCCACCACCTTTCTTCAGGTAGTCCCTCTGCCAAGTCCCTTCCTACAGCCCTCACCCTCCCTCAGGGCCTTGAACAGACTATTTCCATGGACTTGACCACCCTCCTCCCACTACCCACAGTCCAACAGGAAACATTCCTGAAAACCACAGCCTGGGCAAAAGTTCTCCTGCCCTACCTTCTCCCAGGAGCGTTCTTTCCAGCTGTAGCAATTCTCTCACTGCATGTATGATAGATGAACTGACACAGTGCACCAAAAAGGCAAACTAATCCACTGGCTTGCCAAGTAAAGGTGGTGGAAAAAGACAGCCTTTCCTTCCCACCATGAACTAATTTGCTATGATTTAAGCTCACATCTAAATAGGGCCAGCACAAATCTAATCACAGCTAACCAAGAGAGATTAATCAGATTAAAACCCTGACTAAATTTACCTATCTGGAGATTTCTCTCTGCAGACCCTCTCTCAGCCCCGTCTCTACAGCTCTGGCCATCACCTCCCACACATGAAAGGAAGAGTCCAGTCTGAGGCTGGGCAGACTAAAACTGTCTCTGATACCCCCCTTGGTGAGGAAGCACAGACCTTACCAGACCAACTCCGTAGATGGCTGAGCCACCAGGCCACAAAGAGAATCAACTGAGCATGTGTTTAGCTTACATAATTACCTAATTACTGAAATGTTTTAAAATCAGAATATTCCAAATTCATTAGGACTTCTTTCCAGCACAGCAATGATGAGCTAGGGCTAAGTGTCATCTGTCATTTAGCAAAGAACTTACAATGATGTTTTCCATATACTCACCTGCTTCACTACCTGCCCAGGCCCCACAAGTATCTTACTTGTACCTTCTGATATAAATGATTAAAACAACATATTTCTTCAAAAGGAAAATACACTCATAGCACATTCCACAAAATCACCATCATATGGGAAAGACAGTGCTGCTCCTATTATTAGTTCCTATTACTATTGCAGGTTGTGATCTCCACCCACAGTAAAGAAGGAAAAACACTCCCCTTGATAAAACTCTTCATATTAACACCCCGCCAGACTAAATTTAGGCTGCAGGTCTAGAGAAGCTGCAAATCCAACTCTTGGTTCCTGCCATCCTGATGGCCTCATTCTCAGAAACAGGACAACTGTTCTCTAAAGCTTTGAGATTTTTACTTCCTCTCACACTTAAGAGGTCTGCCTAACCCCTCAACCAGTTCATCCAACCAGCTAATCCCATAAGGAGGCACTGCTGCAATCCTGCAACCCCAATGAGCCCAGCATCGCAAATAACCTAAGCAGACCCAGGAAATGTGAAATGACGACTTAGGCCACGAGGATAGGACCTACTTCATCAATGCCTTCCTCCTCATGAAAGGTCCGAGACAAAAAGAGGCAGGTCATGGTGTCTTCCTTCTTGGTGAAGAGTATAAAATCCTTCCCAATGCGCATTGAGCCCCTGAAAGGAAAGCAGAAATGTGTTATTCTCCCAGGGATTCAAAAACTCATCTGAAAAAGGAGGAAATTCACCCTCTGGACATGACTGAAACTGCCTTTGAAGGGCTCTCCTCAAGACCTCCCTCCCTCGCAGGACCCTGAGATGAGAGGTCCACAGTCCTCATTCCCTCTACTTTTCCATCAGCCTTCACTGTTCCTCACAACCAGCCTGACCGCACTTACCCACCATACAAGGCTTCCCCACCACCCTTCTAGGGCACACTGACCACGGATCGTCAGCCCCAAGTTAACTCCCGACCTGCTGCACATAGTAAGTAACCCTGCTGCCCATGCACCAGGTTCATCTCAGCTACACAAGGACTGCTGTACTCTTTGTGCCACCATCAGATTTCTCTCCAGGAACCGATACCTTCAACATATCATCTTCCATGCTAACCACATCCAGTTCCCATCTGATCCTTCCTTTGTTGACACAAACTCCCTTCTCATTCACTCATCAAATGGCAGTACCATCAAGGGCACAGCCCACAGTCTACACTCATAAGTCCTCAAAAAAAAAAAAAAACAAAACCCAGTATGATCCCAAGGCTCAGCCAAATATAGGGGCTAACCATACACAACATAATTCTTCTTAATCATAGTTTTTAAGGAGGCCTATAATTGGCTCATGTCCTGTAACTACAACCATCTTCTGTCTCAAAATTGTTTCGCCACCTCAAGCTCTTTATGACAGAGGCGGTCCCTGCTTTTAGATGCAATTGGTTTCTGGGAAATGTGCCTTGAGGCTGGGTTCCACAAGGCAAAAGTCCGAATGGAATCAACTGCTTCCTTCCTGTTTGGCCACATTAAATCATCTGAGAAACAGGCAAAGACAGGCCTTTCTGCGCAACATGGAACAGGGCAGAAGTTCCAACAGTTCATTGCCCAGTGAACAACGGGGCTGTTTAGCTCCTTTCTTCTGAGCAGCTTCTGGGGCTTTATGGCTATTATCTCATTAGTCTTCATAATACCCCAGGGAGGGGATGGCAGTGGAAAGCCTCATTACTCTCTTCATTGTACAAATACAAACCAGGCTGGCATGCCAAACACATAAATGAATGCCATGTCCCATTTCCCCAAATGCTCAGGAAAACGCCCAGGACACTATCCAGAGACACCGTGGGGGCTGCCAAGTTCTCTTTCTCCTCTTCCAGTTCCCAAGATGCTGGCAATGCTGCTTCCTCTGACAGATTTCACAGCCCTCCTCCTTCTTCCCTGAAGCTTATGGATAGCAAAATGAGGCATATTACCTTGCTTTCTGTCAAAGCTTGTTCTTGCCCTAATTTGGCAAAAACTCTCACTTTGTGCTTCCTTTCTTCCTTCTTTGATCCTGACCTCGGAAGCTGAAGAGCAACAACCCCAAAAATGCCACCTTTCTGCTGGCTTCCTTGCTTCTCAGCCCTATTCTCACCACAAATCACTCCCTCTTGAAACTCTTTTTCAACTTCTGGTTTCAAAATAAATACACTCTCAACACTAGATGGCTCCAACTCAATGCATCCTTTACGAAACTCATTCTACTAAAATATGCTAATGAGAACACTCTCAACTTCCTGGTCTTCTAAGCACCGTGAGAGTCATATTTAGTTTGCGCCTCAAACTTGCTCTGTAAGGGAGAATGTCAGAGAATAGAACCCCGTTTTCTAGATTAGAAAACAGATATTCAGAGATGTGAAACAGCTTGCCTGCGGCCACAAAACTGCTAAAACCAGGTAGGAGGAGGCTGGCCTACAATCCAGATGGGAAGTCAGGACTTCTTTCGCACTGACTCTAAGAGACCTCAGTTACTGGGATTTAGGGCACCAGCACCAGAATCACTTGCGGAACCTAACCTATAGATTCCTAGACCCTACCCTAGACCAGGAATCTGCTAATGGAAAGAACAAAGGAGAAATAAAATAAGAATCCAGAAACTAATCTAAGGCTCTCAAAGCAATGACAGTATTTAATCCTTAACTTACTTGGCATATATTATAATCCCAATCTACAAAGGAGGAAACTGAGGCTCAGAGCAATAATTAAGTGGCTGAGATGAGATTTGAATTTTAATTTGCATGACTGAAGTGAGATGGATAACAGCTCCGGCTTTGCAGTCAAAAGGACCTGGTTCGTATCTCAGCTCTACACTCAGGCAAATATTTGTATACCTCTGGGCAAATCACTTCATCCCCATAAATCTCAATTTCCTCATTGGAAAATGAGAATAAAAAATGAGAATAGGAGCGCCTGGTGGCTCAGTCATTAAGCATCTGCCTTCGGCTCAGGTCATGATCCCAGGGTCCTGGGATCGAGCCCCGCATCGGGCTCTCTGCTCAGCGGGGAGCCTGCATCTCCCTCTCCCACTCCCCCTGCTTGTGTTCCTTCTCTCGCTTTGTCTGTCACATAAAAAAAAGTGAGAATAGGAGGATTAAATAAGATCATCCAAGTAAAGTTTTTAGCACAGTGCCTGGCACATGGTAAGTACTTGTTATTACCATTTGGTTTCTCCCCTGAAAGACAAATCAAAAAGTCCAGGTACCATGTCTCCGATGTCTTTGGAAGCACGCTCTTTCCCTGCCACACATCTAAAGCATGCTGCATGTGAGGGACAACTGATACTGTTGACTGACCAAAGCACCACCCTCTAACAAAACAACACGTTTCCACAGCAAGACTGGAAACGTGACTCAGAATTCCATTTGTACAAACTCCAATTCCACTAAATCTTACTCCGTCCAAAGGTATGTACAGCTGGAAGTGAGCATTTCAGAAATAGAAACCTTTCTCTTGGGGCTTCACTCAAAACCAGAACAACACATTCCAAACACCAAACAAGTGGGAACCAAGGGCTAAGAAAGAAGTCCCAAAGGATCTGAAGACATTAGGTAGGTCGCTGCTACAGGGTCTAGCAGGACACAGAAGTGGAGACCATGTCCTCTGAGAGGGAGGGTTCAGATCTCTATTACTCACTCTGGATCCCCAGTGCCTGGCTCAAAGCATGACATGTGGCAGGTGCTCAAGGAACACTGCTGTGCCATGAAGCAACCCCTTTAGCATCTCAAACACATCCGAACCCCGCAAAACAACCACTTGCATCCTCAAACCACAGGGTAAAAATAAGAATTTTCATCAGGAGGAAAAATGCGGTTCCAAAGCACATTGCCAAAAGAAACCTATAGCTTGCTTCTCTCACCCCAAATGGTTTAGGATGTTCATTCTTTCAATCTGTAAGGAAAACTTGGCTGAACGACAGTTGCGGGCGCCTGGGTGGCTCAGTTGGTTCAGCGACTGCCTTCGGCTCAGGTCATGATCCCGGAGTCCCGGGATCGAGTCCCACAGCGGGCTCCCTGCTCAGCAGGGAGTCTGCTTCTCCCTCTGACCCTCCCCCCTCTCATGCTCTCTTTCTCTCAAATAAATAAATAAATAAAATCTTTGAACGACAGTTGCTAAGTCCCCAAACTACTACTTCTTTCTGATTTAATTCTTCTGCTCCAGAGTTACACTAATGGAAGGATAAGGAATAGAAAGTTTTCATTGGACAACAGCAGGAGAGTTCTGCTTGATTCTGTATTGAGTCCTACGACAGGCTTCTAGTATACTTACGATTTTAACCCATTCCCATATTGCCCAATCTGGGTGGACTCAGGTGTTCGTTTGGCCGACTTCCCAAACTGGATCACACTGGCAGCGTCACCTGAAGTGACAGGCACAAAACAAAGTGAAGCATTTGCATTTCTTCCCCAGGATCCTCAAAAATAAAAGGTCTGAGCTTTGTTAAATCTGAGCAGGGCTGTCTGTCTACTAAAACCACTTCCCAAGGAAATTCAGAACCATGAGGCAAATGGAGACAACCTCTGACTGGCCTGTTAGTACCACCATCACTATGACTTTATTCTGTTACCAGAACATGGTATGAAGGCTGAGGAAGACCTCTGTAGTTCCAGCTCCAGGATGTTGTGCAAGCTGATAAATACAATGTCAAGAGACAGGGTAATCTGACTGACTTCAGGTTGCCATTCAGATCCTATCTCCCATGCTAGGACAAGACCTGGCAAATCCATTAGTGGAATTAAGCCTGAGATGTTGCAACAGACCTTTCTCTCTCCAGGTGGATCTTCTAGTCACAACAGTAAGGCAACAGAAAAACAACACAATGAGTATTTAGTAAAAAGAGTTACATCCTCCCCAAAAGAAGAAATCTCATCACTTACTTGGATCCATTCCTGCTCCATCATCCAAAAAGCAAAGCATAAATCCTCCTCGAAGGTCCTCTCGCCTTTCTGTAAGAGAAGCAGCTGCCATTACTGGGTAGTTACCTACCAGAGGGCGCCAAAATGGGTAAGGTCAAAGGTGGATCAATGTGACATTTGGGCCAAAAACATTAGGACAAACCTAGCTCCTCTTTCTAATAGTCTATTAGAAGGTACATGTCGGGGTCCTTGAAGGTAGACATTACTATCAAAGGTTCTCCAATGCTTTCTAGTTAATGACAAAGATTGACAGAATCTTTGAGGGCAGGAAATACCTGGTCCACTAGACTAACCACCAAGCAGGAAGTCCAACTCAGGGCTCGATTCCAGGACTCTGAGGTCATGATCTGAACCCACTGTCTGAGTCACCCAGGCACCCCTGAATATGCATGTATTTAATGCAAACCTCAATCATCCTTCTGCCTCTTTCCACCTGGATTACTTCCACCTCTGCCCTCCGCTATGGACCCCAAGTCACTAAAGTACTCCAACTACAACACACTGTACCTTATCAACACTGCTCAAATTCAACAGGGCATCTCCTTTGTGGGTTAAATCTGGGGTAGCCTTCAGACAATGTGATCAAGCCAGACATGCTGTGGGCACAGTGGTGGCAGTTACTACCCAGAGAAACTGCTAAGTCTGTGTATGACTACCCCCAGGCTAACTTGAATTTCTGGGCTATCTGTATTCATTGCCACATCCTCTGCTTGCTATGGGTCCCTGAAATGGCTCCCTAACCTAGGAATATGATGGCACAACATGCAGTGAGAACTGCCTGGTTCCCAGCTGGACTTGCTCGACTAGAAGGAAGAATAGTCTTTTGACAAGAGGATTAAGTCCTTTGACAGTGCAGCCATGGCAGGGCTTCCTGGTTGACAGAAGGGGAACAAAACAAACTGGCTGCCATTTCAGTGGGTCTTCTGCAGCAGCAGGTGGTTACTCAAAGTAGTATGGGTCTAAGCATGTCACAAACACTAAAGAAGAGATTCCCAAATAGAGAAGGGGGCGATATTGGAGTTTCCAAGGTGAGGATTATATTGACAAAGGAGAACAGCACAGGCTTTGGAATCAGGAGATCACTTCTACTAAAAGGAAAAAATCTATGTAAGGGACTACAGGGACAAGCCCAAGGCTGCTTTGGAGCCTAGTTCCCGATTACTTTTTTGTTCCCCGCAAGCTGTGGTTCACTAACTTTATACAACTATCAAAGCTGAGGAATCCCAGTTTAAAATACTCTTTGTCCTCCCCTTGGGCTAAAGATTCAAGTGAGTCATGACCACCCTCTGTTAAATTGACTAGTTAGTGTAATTTAAAACACAATTTTAGGGGCGCCTGGGTGGCTCAGTTGGTTGAGCGACTGCCTTCGGCTCGGGTCATGATCCCGGACTCCTGGGATCGAGTCCCACATCGGGCTCCCGCCTCAGCGGGGAGCCTGCTTCTCCCTCTGACCCTCTCCCCTCTCATGCTGTTTCTCCCTCTCTCTCTCTCTCTCAAATAAATAAATAAAATCTTTAAAAAAAAAAAATAAAATAAAACACAATTTTAAAAGTACTATAAACCACAGATTTTCAAGTATCACTAAGTGTTCAGGAAGCTGACTTTGCTGAAACATTAATAACAAGTGCTTCTTGAAAGTTCAAGAGCAAGGACCTTCCTGTTAAGCATGTAAGGTAGATAAGAAAATTTCTCCTTATGGCAGTGCCTCTTATCAGTGTGGAGAATCCAAGTGAGATCTAGTTAAGCATGAGCAAGTGCAAGAAAAGTGCAAAAAGGCTTCAAAATTTCCTTCTGGAGGAAGCAAAGTATTACATGGAAACTCAAACTAGGACAGATACAGAGCATGGTAAAAAAAAAAAAAAAGTGTTCTAAATCTAGCCAAGAGCCATTTGTTGTACACTTCAGCCATAAGACATTCATGAAGATTCTGCTTTGGAATCTAGAAACTGGTTCAAGCCAACTGGCATTCCTGGAACACTATATAGGAAATTACTGCAAGGCTCCTGTGTTTGTTAGGCACATAATCATCACTTAACAGTGGGTCTGAGATCCCTTCCTTGTTCAAGGACTTCATTTAAATATTTTTCATATGGTTTACAAGGGTAAAAGTTCCACCAGTAGAGGATCCTCCTGGCCACATAGTGATCAACAGCCTGTAAGCAGCTAGTAGTACCCAAGTCCACATGATCATAAGCAATACTGCCTCAGGGCCAAGAAAGACTAGCTGACACAGCAGTCACTTCTTCAACTTTGGAAATAGGCAATGTGGCATCATCACCTGGCTACAACGCTTATCCTGATTACTTGTTTATTCAATGAGTATTTACTGAGCACTTCCTCTGTTCCTGGCTCTGTGATAAAGACAGTAGTAAACAATGCAGATATGGCCACTGCCTTCATGGAGCTTACAGTCCAATAGATGCTACTCTCTGTAGCAAATCAGTTAAGCAGAAGGGTTTAAGCAGGAGATTAAGAGTAACAGCTAGAACAAAATGTATTGTGCATAAAAATCCGTTGAAGAGCTTGTTAAAAATACAGATTTTGGGCTCCACCCCACAAAGTCTGTGTGGGTTTGAGGAGGTACCTGAGAATTTCCATTTCTAACAAGCTCCCATGCTGATGCTGTCCATCAGTGGACCACTCTGTGAGAAGCACTAAGCTAGAGAATCAAGAACCAGATAGCTCAAAACGATCTCCCTAGACATCCCACCAGTTAGAGATGTATTCCTAACACCTGATATTTACTTATCAGTCAGTTGAGTGTTATCTGAAGCCTCCAAGCAAAGGATTTTGATGAAGGAGGGGGAGTTCTAGAGAGAGGAGAGTCTAAGCAGCTGGGTGTTGTATGCTCCCACTCCCATCATACATCTTGGAAGCAAGACAGGGAAGGCAAAGCCAAACTGCCTTCTTTATAGTTGTGCTTCAGATCCTGGTAGCAGCTATGTAAGGTTATCAGAATGAGTTTGGAAGGATGCACATCTAAGCTCCCCCCAATATGGCCAAGTCTGGCTTCTCCAAATTAGCCTGACATCATCCCATCATCCAACTCCCACTGGGGAGAAGACAGAAAGAAGCAGGAGATGAAATGTAAAATGGAACTCATAAGTCAAAAATCAGAGATGAGAAAATAATATTGTCCTTAGCAGAAGTTGTAATAAAATGATATCCAAGTTCTTCATTGTTCTTTTACAATCTGAGCAGTATTCATTTCAGTTACATGTGCTCTAATTTTCCACTTACTAACCATGGTTTAGCATCACAAAGGGGATCTTTCTTTGAGGAATGGCACTGCCTATCCAAGGAAGTCAAGAAAGTCAGTAAAAATATGGAGTCTACTTCTGACAGGCACATTATTGTCTGGCCCCGTCTAACAGGAATGCTTTGGGTAAATGAATACCTCCACACTTTATGAGTCTGGTTCCTTTGTCACTCTTTTTTTAAAACATGACTTTTTAGTGAATTCAAACTAAATCTGATGTTTAAGGGGATTTCCAAGTTCAGTATCAATCTAGTCTCAGAATGGGAGTCAGGAAAATACTTTCCCCCGTGTACTGACAATAAGAACTTTATAGTTATTAGGGTATTACTAATTTTATCATTGTACTGATAAAATGAGATTGCTTTTATTCCTCCTGTTGAATGTGTTAATAAGGCTCTGAGGTAGAAAAGTGTGAAGTTGGGGCAGCCAGGTGGCTCAGTCGTTAAAGCGTCTGCCTCCAGCCTGGGTCATTATCCCAGAGTCCTGGGATCAAGCCCTGCATCAGGCTCCCTGCTCCATGGGAAGCCTGATTCTCCCTCTCCCACTCTCCCTGCTTATGTTCCCTCTCTCGCTGTGTCTCTGTCAAATAAATAAAATCTTTAAAAAAGGAAAAAAACAAAAAGAAAGAAAAGTGTGAAGTTAAAGATATCTCAGCCAAGATACCCAATCTTGAGGTATTTGGAGAAAATCAAGTCTTTTTCTAAAATGCTATAGTGTGGGGTGCCTGGGTGGCTCAGTCGTTAAGTGTCTGCCTTCAGCTTAGGTCATGATCCCAGGGTTCTGGGATCGAGCCCCACATCAGGCTCCATGCTCTGCGGGAGGCCTGCTTCTCCCTCTCTCACTCCCACTGCTTGTGCTCCCTCTCTCACGGTGTCTCTCTCAAATAAATAAATAAAATCTTTTAAAAAAATAAATAAAAAATAAAAATAAAATGCTGTAGTGCTTAGTACTTCTATCACACCATTTAATCCTTAACTGCCTTGACAGTTCCCTCAAGATCAAGTTATTGTTCTCTAACCATCTGCAGAGTGCTAACTGTCTTCTCCAATTAAAGACTTAAATTCTCTAATGAGAACTTAGAAAAGGCCCCATCACATCCTCTCTGGACTCTTCCCAAAGCACAACAGGAGTAAGAACACCGAGCACAGAATAAATGCACAGCGGGCCTTTTTCATTTAAATTGAAATCCAACCGTTCTGTTGCATTCTGAGTGTCAAGGATTAAATTTTCTTAGTGAAATTCACCCACCAAAGGTGGTAGGAGGAGGCAGGGATGATCTGTGTTTAAAATGCTTCTTTCAAGTAGACTCAGCTATGATGATTTGTCCTTTCAATGTCACTTGGAATAGAGGCCCATTCTCTGCTTTACCATCTGTGCAACGATTAAAACAACATTTCTTTCAGAGATAGCTGTAACTGCTCCTCATTAAAGTACACTTGAGATCTAAGATGCACACTGTGACTTGGGAATGGTGCCTCCATTTGGCCTTAGGGTAACACTCTTCTGCCGTGCCTCTGAGATGTATCCCTAACACCTGATATTTACTTTGTTCCTTTCTTCTAAAAATAAAAGAAGTCTTATTTTCACCACTTTGGCATAGCCTTTTGAGCAGAAGGCTTTCAGAATTTAAGCAGTACAGCTGACTTTCAGCTGTTCTGAATTTTCTTTGCTCCAAAGTGTACCAGAGATGAGAAAGTCATCCTATCTGGGAGATTCTTCATAAAATTATGTAACATTGGAGGTTCTGAAAATTACCTCTTAGTTTGCTTGTTCCCATTTATGAAATGAGTCCACAAAGATGGGTTATTTGGTAAGTAAGTGTATATTCCCACAAAAACACTTCAGTCTTCTCAGAAGCTAGTCAATGTTATTCAAGACTTTAGAAAAGTTTGTCAGAGACACATACTACGCTAGTCAAATTGGTTTTAAAAGCCATCTTCCTCTATTTTGCTTCCAAATTTCTAACATTAAAATGACCAGAAACATGCTGGTACATACACTTAACAGGCAGAAAGCAAACTAAAAATAATAATTTAAAATTTTTAAAAAGCCAGTGATAATGACTAAGAATTATTCCACTATTGCACCCACTCCAGAAAAAAAGAATCTTACTACCAAACAGCAGAGCCAATTAAATAAGCAAAACAGGAGACACCATTAATAACATCTTTAAATTCCGGGGTGCCTGGGTCGTTCATTTGGCTGAGCATCTGACTTTGGCTCGCATCATGATCTCAGGGTCCTGGGATCAAGCCCTGCGTCAGGCTCCCTACTCACCACGGAGTCTGCCTGTCCCTCTCTCTCTATCTCTCCCCCAACTCGTGCACTTGCTCTCTCTCTCAAATAAATAAAATCTTAAAAAAAAAAAAAAAACTTTATATTCCAAGCAAAGCAGCTCTCCTTCCTGACACCTCTGCCTGAAAACATCTCCTTAGCAAACCCCAGTGCCAACCCAGTTAACCCAAATGTTTTGTGCAACTGACACCAGCAACTCTCTAAGTCCTCCCTGAGGTTACAGAGAGAGAAACTGGCCTCCAACAGGATCTCTCTTTGGCTCCAGGTACCAGTAAAATCAACCGATCAGTAATCCAACCAGTAAAATCACCAGTACTTGGTCACTTCACTCCCCACTACTCTACTCCATCATCCCATAAATCTCTCAGTGGCTATCTAAATAGATCTACAGGGGCACCTGGGTGGCTCAGGTCATGATCCCAGGGCCCTGGGATGGAGCACTTAGTCAGGCTCCGTGCTCAGCCTGCTTCTCCCTCTCCTCCCTCCTCATGCTATCTCTCTCTCTCTCAAGTAAATAAAATCTTTAATAAATAAATAGATAGATCTATAGATCTGGGAACCACATGTTAGTTTCCTTACACCAATATTCTTGGTTTCTATTACATGCCTGACCAGAGCTGCCCTATTTCTACCCTATGACCTGGAGTAATCCTTCCATCTCTCCCAGGCATTTCTTCTTAGGCATAGCCATACATGCATTCAAAGAACTGAACATCAGAAGAAAGGACTGACGTCTAACTTACCTGCGTAAATATCTATTCTGGTGGCATCCGCATCTCTGCAAAAGAAATCAAGATCCAAATGAAATATGAAATATCAACCATCAAAATACATAGTATTTTAAGCAGAATGCATACTATTTTAAGTCTATTTTTAGGAAGTCACACAGAAATTCTGTATCCATTAAAGTACACTTTCATACTTGGCAACACTATTTTCCTTATGTGTCTGTAAAACAGTGCTGAAGCTCTAAATTATTTAAAATAACCACATGACACATAGGGTCTGGACACATCTTTTTAATATGGATTTCAGATTTCGCAGTAAAAATATCCTAGAGGATGAAAGAACATTCCCCTTTACACACTAAAAAATGACTCACAACTATATTTCTCTCACTAATTTGACAGCCATCATAAAAAAATTTTCCAATAACTTGTCCATTTTTCTTTTGTACTAGATACTGAAAAGAAAGAAAAACATCATCTGCCACAAAACCTATGAAAAATCAGGTTTCATAGTATATACATTACAGTCAGCAGACTAATTGACAAGCCTGTAATCTTATCCTCCCTAACCTAGAAAGGAAGTTGGGGCACTCCATTAGACTCCAACCACCAGCTGAAATACAAGTTCAGTCATCAATAAAGGCTTGAAACTAATCTAGTCCAATTCTGCCAACTGCAGGGAAGGAAAATGAGGCACAGAGAGTTTCATAAGTTCTAAATGCAAAAAACCCACTCAAATCCATACAGTTCTACATGTACCTATTCCCAAAAACATAAAAACAGTTTCAAATATGAGAAAGACGGGCAATATGTGTGCATGACCAGGAACACATACTCCCAGGAATCTCCAGTTCACCATATGATATACGAAAAGGCAGTCTGCCACAGCACACCATGGTCTCACTAAACTAACAAGTGGCAAATTCAAACATAGTTCCATTAAGCTACAGCATTTTTAAATTAAATACAAAAACTATGAGTCAACCAGGATTGAAACAAAATGGGAGTTTTCTGATTAAACCGCTGTTAACAAGCACAGTTCCATAAACAGTCCGGTGAATAACAATAAAACTAATAATGGTACATGATTATAGTATAAGATACAGATACAGACAGAAAATTATCGGCAAGCTCATTAATTGGGGATGTTTAGAAAGCACTTCTACCAAAAAAAAAAAAAGTACTCTCCACTCTTACCCTCTTCCTTCATTATTCATCAATAAGCAATGTGTCTGAATTTTATGTTTGCATTCAAAAACAAAACTGAGATAATATTTTCATAATTATTAACAGAATCTTGATTTGGATGTTGCTATTTATCTTTGACCCAAACCAAACTTCTTTCCAGTCTTACACAGTAACATTTATAGACTTCCATCACTAAGAACTCAGCATAACACAGTGCTAAAGAATTTTTTCCAAACACAGCTAACAATAGAAGACACTTTGATCAATTGGTGTCATTGACCTTAAAATATACATTCTGAGATCACACATATCTGTGGCATAATTTTAAAAACTTTAAATGGTGTACTGTTCTGACAGCACAAATTAAATCAGATCTTGCCTGTCCCATTAACTTGATTCCTACGTTTCTATCTTAATTCCCTGCATTTCACTACAATTATCTTGCTCTAATACACAAGGGAAGGTAACTTTGGGGGTCATAAGCTCATTTTTAGGAAAAGCAACGGATGAATTAAAGTCAATCAAGTAAACTGGAAATATCAACTAACTTGCTATTAAAAATACTTCTGGGGTAAGAGACCTCTTAGGAGTGAATTACAGCTGCTTACAGAATTGTCTTCCTCCCACATCTTCAGAAACAAAGGTCCCAATGACCCAAAAAGTTTTCAAGCACAGACTGTATGCCTAAAGACTACATACCTTGCATTATCAACCAGTTCAGCAAGAGCACCAAACAAGAATTCATGAGTAGTTCTGAAATGATAAATACTAAGAATCAGCAGAAGAATTACAGAATTGAACTATGACACCTAATAAGGTTATAAAATGTTATTTTTTAGGGAAAAAAAATCTAAAATTGCCATTTGTGCTGTCAATTTATACTACTGAAATTTAAACTTCCCCACAATTAGAGTCTTTTAAAGGCCTTCTAAACCCCCTCAAATGTTAATCAGGTTCTGCTATCTACTCATGTTTATTCTTACTATGTTAAGAAACCCTTGAGAAGCATTAAGATTTCTATGTATATTACAGATTTAAAAGCAGTTTTTTTCACTACTCATGTTCTGCCTAGAAAAATGTGTTTTATTTTTCACTGCCTTAACCAGCTATCAGTTTCTGCATATCTCTAAGCATGCTCAATGGACAACTTGCTAACATTTTGCTTTACCAATACTTGCATATTATCCATTGGTGAAAAAAGAAAACCCATTTGTTTCTATGCAGTTTGTAAGCAAAATATTCCATATGAAAGTGAGGAGAAAGGAGAGAATAATCTATTTCCTGACATTTCAATTCTAGCTAAAAACCACCTTCTCCACATTAAAGAAAGGAATTGAAGACCCTCTTGTACGTTTTCCTCTTAGAAGGACAGCTTGGTATATTCTTCCTAGGGTCCCTGATAGCCCTTTTAAGAAGGTCATCTCTCTTCCAGGAGACTGCTCAAAGTTGGGTTAGGTAAATACACAATTACCACAGTATTCAGAACTCAGTAAATATGATATTTATGCAGAAGATGAATCCTTAAATTCTTTCTCCATTTACATTCTCTTTAATTTGTGTTGTTTCCCATAATAGTCCTCTTTAGATGTAAAAGTTAGGATGTGTTCATCTAGAAACCTTGACTTTTGATAAAAAAACAAAATCATTAACCTAAATAATACATTACCATCATCAATTTTTCAAAAATAAATTCCTGCTGATTTTTTCGTATACCATTTCAGCCACTAGACAAAGTGAAAATTTCTGAAAATTTAGAATACACCAAAATTAAATAACCAGTGTCTAGGATCTCTGATCACTTACTATATCATGTAAAACAAAAAACAAATTGTAAAATATTTGCTTATAAAATAAACACCCAAAACTGAACTGTCCAGGAACACTGGTTTTCCCTCAAATAAACCTACAAATTTTTACAATAGCAAATTCTGAATTAAAACTACTAGTTATTAAAAAAAAAGAAGAAAAAGCAGTTCTTGGAATTTTAGGAATAACTTTTTGCCCTGAGATCAGTGAATATATCTGCTGCTAATCCACAGGTGGCACCAACAAATGTCTTAGCGCAAAGCAGAAATTTATCTCCAATTTAGAAAATAGAGCTCAAATTCTTCTGACCAAAATCCAATCCTTAACTATTTTACAAGAAAAACAATTTCTAAGAGAAAAACCTGCATAAAACAGATCTTTAATTTAAAAATTTAAGTCTCTATAATCATCTTAAATTCTTCAAATTATCAATTGAAGAAAAGAGAAGTATTCTGTAGATTACTACACTAAATAGGGAGAAATGTTAGAAAATTAAGGTGATTTGCTAAAGGTAATATAAATTAAAAGTAAATCTAACATTTGCTCTCAAACTTTCAACCATTTTCCTGTCTTAGAAATGGCTTAGAAACTTACAAAGTGAGTTAGCTTTCTATACTCTAAATGTTTTTAATTTTGAGGTTAGATAAAAATATAAAATAACAAATTCTACTGTAAAAGTTCTCATTTCAGTGAGAACCTGTACTTTAACCATGGTCAAAGAAACTCAGAAATATAGCTCCTGTAACAACAAAGAGAAAACAACCATAGTAAGAATGGGACTACAACTTGTATGCAGGAATCTTCGGAATAAGTATGTTTAAGAATAAAGTACTGGCCTCTGGTAGTGAGAATAGTGAATACAAATAATCTTGAAAACTAATTTTGATACCCTTTGCCATCAGGGCAAAGAAATAAAAAACAAATGGCAACTGCTTCTCAGCAATACATATTTCTAACTGCTTCACATGAAAAGGAGAGACATTCAGAATTCAGTAAGATCTCAAAAGTGCAAGCACAAAGTATCTCTGGCTAAGTTTTCACTGCTTTCTATACAATGTTTAGAAATGTGCCTTATAAATTCAGAATTTAAAGAAAACATTCCAAATGGCCTTTGTTGTTCCATAGAGTATCAATGCTGTTCCACACATACATATTTCAGGTAAGTTAACAGATAACTTTAAAGCGTAGCTAACAGATACTTTCGTGATATGTACTGACACATCATAAAAGGGGTCTTTTGTGACAACTGATGGGAAGGGCAGAGACAACACTCATCTTCTCTAGACCTTCAAATGATTGATGGGTCCTACTAACAAAGTCAGAGTTCTAAATATTTCTTAAAATCATAAGAACCAGAAATATACCGACATAATTTCTCCTTTTTTCAAATAATATTCAAAGAGACACATTCATTGCTTGCTAGCATTTGAAACAGGTATTTGATTAAATATCAAAGAAAATTATTTTCACAGATGTAAAGATTCTTTGCATGTTATCCAAGAAAGGTCAACCACATGGAAAAAGACAAGGATTTTTAGCAAACTCTCATTTTCAATTGGCTTTTATACTGTTTGTGCCATGATCAAAATAGTTTTGCAGCTCAGCATTTCCAGTGACAAATTCACGGGTAAATCTACTCATTACGTAAGGAAAATGGTGTCCCAATTTATACTCAACCTGAATTTAAGCCAATAGATTATCCACAAGTCCATCACACGGTGATAGCTTCTCCTGTGTTCTTAGAGATGTTGACAACAGTTAACTGCCTTAATTGCTAGAAAATAAAGCTGAGAAACTAGAGCAACCATTTTACATTCAAATGGCTTTAATATATTTAGTGTTAACCCACATTTCAACTAAGTCCCAAAAAATATTAAGTCTCTAAAGATGGCACGTTCCTCTATATTCACTACATATATAGATAAAACAAGCCAAAATCATATTGCCAAGATAATTTATTAAATGTGCCAACAGAAATAGACACAGAGAGCAGGAATCTTATACTTAAGCATCCTGCTCTATCAGACCACTCAGCAGTACCGCAGTGATGTAAGATATGCACCTTATCAAAAAGGAACATCACTACCACCACTATATCTGGAATCTAGCACCTAGATTGCTCATGCACTTTTTACTAGTAGTCACAAAACCCAACACTAAAGAGCAGTAACAGCATAAAACTGTTCTTATTTAAAAATCGTAACATCATTTTATACTAGCAACACCCTGTATTAAAAGGAATTAGCCTAAAACTTTCATGTTATCATGAGACTCTCCCAGGCCTGCCTTAAATCTTAATGCTAATGTAACCAAAATAACCATCAGTTACCCTAGACATCATACAAAAAAGAACAAAAAAAACCCCTCAAGACAGATGTTTACTGTCTCCAACAAATGCTCCAGAATTTACTAAGAATGTATCTGCCTAATGACTACCACCAAAGAGCAAGCTGCTACACTGACCACTTCTGGTTTATATAAATTATACACTGAATAAATAATCACCATCTGTTCAATGTTTACTATGTACCATGCATGAGCTAATTACTTTATAAACATTTTACATAATCCTCAAACTGTTGGATTAGCCCCCTTTTATAGATGAAGAAACTGAGGATCAGGGAAATCAACTTGCCCAAAGACTCAGCCAGGAAAAAGACAAATCCAAGCTTGGCTGGCTTCCAAGCCCATGCATGCTCCCTCCATTGCACCACACTTTCTATTCTTCTAGCCTGCCTGGGTTCAGCCTGCAAGTCCAAATTACATGGGGGGTAAGCAAAGGGCCATACCTTTCATAATTCACAATATGGCAATATTGTAGATGTCAGACACACTATTATGGTCTTATGTTTTAAAAATTAGACCAAAGGAGAAAGTACTATAAAACAAATCTTCCTATTTCTAAAGGTGACACTGCATATCACTTAACACAGAGAAGATCCATCCACCATCACTAGGAATAACAAGTCACATCTTACAAAAATTTAAAAATTTGTTTCCTCTAGAAATGAATTTCCATTCATGTCACCACGATAAATTTTGAAATTGGTTATAAGCTAACTTATCATGGTATTCTAGGGTTCATATTTTCTTCTGGCAGGACTGGACACATGCAAAAATAGACAACTTCAAAGGTGTGACCCAGATTAGAAAATCTAAAGCTTCCAAAATGGTACATCCAACCCTTAAATGTTCATCCAAGCAGGTGGTTCCAATTCAATACGGGTAAGTCAAATTCACAGAAATTCTCCAGTTTCACTTTAAACAAGTGACTTAACTAGAGCTCAATTCTTGACCTTAGTTCTGTTCACCTATTAGTAAGATAGCAAAAGAAGTAATATTCCAGAACTTCAAATTAAAGGTTTTTGATAAACTGAATAGATCTTCCAAGTAGGAAGTAAACCGTTTGCTTTAGAAGCAAAACAAGCCCTTAAAGGTAAAACTGACTAGAGTTAGCACTGCCTAATGGTTAAAGACACTAACCACTGTGGCCAAATAAATCTTATTGCCTTAAATCTTGATGCCTTAAATTTGCCACTTAGAAGTTGTGTAATTTTTGGCATGTTATTCAATCTGAGCCTGTTTCCTCAACTGCAAAATAGGAATAATCCTTACTCCAGCAAGGTTACTATAAAGATTACACATCTTTAGAAGTAGCAAGAAGCAATTAACTGTTCTAACTATTATTTTATTATCAAATAAAGTCTTTGGGGGAAGCTAGAACAACCCACCCAGTTTCCCAAGTCCCATTCATGGTCTTCCAACGTTATCATATAATCTGTCATTCCAAATTTGGACTCTCGTTCCACAATTCAGAACTGAAGTAACCATTTATCAAACCCAATCACCTGTGAACATCTAAGTGGCCTTCAAATGCTTGTTCTTAAACATGGCAGTTCAAATATAAAAAAGGATACTGAAGATTTTGCCCAAGACTGTTATCAACTAGGTAAGCGAGCCTGATCTACAACCTTATCTAAGTGGGTTTCAGATTCATCATCAATAGCATGAGACTTCACTTAAATGGCCTCTACAGTACCTACTCTAAAACTTTTGAGTTCAATAAGATTCCTAAACAAAAATAAAACCAGGCTATCACCATTTGGCAATTCACTTCACTACCCAGAAAAAACTTATTTCCTTGATCAGAAAAAGAGCAAACAAAAAACTACTCTCATCACAAATAACATATTGTCCTTTCCCATAAAAAACTAAAACTTATTTTACTATTCCTAGATGATTGAAGTCTATATCCTCAAACCTCAGGGTGGTTCGTCAGATCTCTGGGCCATTCATGTAGCTGCTCATCACTTCTCCAGGCACTAAAATGGTAGAATACTTACCTTCATCTCCAAAGTGACAAACGAATGTGTTAAAACACTATGTGGTTATGATCCCACCGAATTACTTCCAAGAGAGTGGGCATAAGAATTAACCCTGAAACATTCCAGGTCAACATGGGATAATGATAATCTCTTCATGAACTCAAGAACCATAAACACACGTGTTCTGTGATTTGCACACATTTTGGGGAAAGGCTAAATTGTGGGTTTAAACAAGTTACCATTTCCTGCTTAGCACATAAAATCTATACTGGATGTAGGGACGAATTTCCCAGGAAGATAAGGCCAACTGTTTGCTGAAAAGAGAAACTAATAATTTCTTCTCACAGTTGTCATTTAAAGATCTTCATTCTTTTTTTTTCTTGTTAGGAAAAAAAAGACTTGTTATAACCCAACTGTTTTGGCTGTTGTCACTAAAGAGAAACAGTTGATTCTAGAATAGTCCAACTTCTGGCGATCCAAAGAAAAGTATTTGCTGGATTCCTATTAAACACTTGAGTGAAACAACTCAAAATATGGGCTTCAAAAAAACTAAAATTTGCATTTGGTCAAATATATTTTGATCCAACAAATGAAGATCATATTCTTCTGGATTAGCAACAAATATTTCACTGATCTCAGTTCTTCAATACAGAGCTCAAGACTCATCCAGTGACACATCCCCAAAAGTAAAAAAGCAGAATTTTCTGGGAAAAGGAGTTCTGTATTATCAAGGCATGAGTTAGCAGTGACCTCAGTGGCACCTAAAGGATACTTACGAATTTGTATGCAGATATTCAAAGGTTAGCTGAGCTCGATTCAGACTGCTGTAATTTGTGAAAGCCATGAGTGCAGTGAGGTCTCCAGTCCTTCACCCACTAACTGGGAAATATAACCTTACAATGGAACAGATTTTGCAGGATTCCTTCTAGTAAAGGTTTGGTAAGTCTGTGCTCCTTACTGTTAAAACAAGGTTACCTAGTATCTATCCAAAATATATTCTAAGAGATGTCTACCACTACAATTGATTTCGCTTTTAAGTTTTTTATCTTCTTGATGACTGTGATGTAATATTCTGGAAAAAACTGTTATAAATCTGTAGTCTTAAAGAGCTTTAGCATTCAATTGCGATAGTTCAAGGAGTTGAATGTAGATGGCCTTGGAGTAGATGGTATTGGAGTTGGAGGTTTTATTACTGCTCCATCTTCACGTTCTTCGAGTTTTTGTGTTCCTCTGAATTTCCGATCAGAAAATTTACCAATCCGGAAATTTACCAACTTCTGTCATAAAACTGGACAGTCACCCATTTCTTCACCACCAATGATCCCAGGGTTCTTAAATAGGCCCCAGGCTGGCGGCCATGAAGTCGATGGAGTGCATATGGCGTTAGTTCCGGCTTCACCACCTCCCAACTGAAAGGTCCCGTAAGCGCTGAAGATGATTTCTGTTTCCAAAGCCCAGACCCAACCTAGTGTGTGCTCCCGTCCCAATCTCCTCAGGGTAGTGGGTCAAATTACCTCACACTGACCCACAAAAATGCTTCAGAACTGACCCGCCCAAATCACCTGAGGCGGGCAGCGCCCCTCCCCCACTTCCCTCAGACAGAGGCCTCCGGCTCTCAGGCCCTTCCTGGGCCTCGGTTCCGAGGCCGCCGCCTCCTCACTGAAAGGAGTTAGTCCCAGCTTTCAAGGCTCGGATCGAGGGCTGTGTGGAGCGCGCACAACCCGACCGGGCGTTGCCCGGTGCTCAAAGCTGCCTTTGTCCCTCCCCACGGAATTGGAACCCAACAACCGCAGCGCGCTCTTGGAACCATGTGCTGCCTCCGCCGCTGCCGCCGCCGCCGCGAGACCAGCCGCCCACGCGCCGCGCTGGATGAGATGATGACAGGACTCAGCACCACGGAATTCGGCGTTTAGGGCTGCTCTGCCGCCGCTGCCGCAGCCGCCACAGCCACCTCAGCCACCGCTTTGTCTCCGCTACTGCACACAACCCGGGCCGCCTCGCGCACTCCCCGACGCCCCAAGCCCCCGAGGCCTCCGCGGCGCATTCAGCCAATCACAGAGCCGCAGCTCCTCCCGCCCCCGCCCTGATGCGACGCCTCCTGATTGGCGGGTAGCGGGTCTCCACGTGACCGGATCTTGCTAGCCGGGCCCGCCCCTGTCACGTGAGAGCGCGCACCTCTCTTCCTGCTTTCATGACCCTCTCCGCCATTTAAAGAAACAGTACCGGGGGCGGGCCGAGCGACGCAGCCGGGACGGTAGCTGCGGCGCGGACCGGAGGAGCCATCTTGTCTCGTCGCCGGGGAGTCAGGCCCCTAACTCGAAGAAGCCCTGGCGCGCCCTCCCCCCCTCCCCGGTCTGGTAGGGCGAAGGAGCGGGCGCGCGGTCGATCGAGCGATCGGTTGGCGGCTCTTTCTCCTGCTCTGGCATCCAGCTCTTGGGGCGCAGGCCCGGCCGCCGCGGCGCGCGCCCGGTGGCCGTTGGCGCTCGCGCCGCGTCTTTCTTCTCGTACGCAGAACTCGGGCGGCGGCCTATGCGTTTGCGATTCGACGAGGAGTCGTCCGGGTGGTCGGCGGCGGCGGGCAGCTGCTCCGCCCCGCTCCCGGGGAGGCGGCGGCGGCGGGATTTGGCGCGGCCGGGGAGGCGGGGGTGGCCGGGGCCGGCCTGGAGGCCTGGCGCCACCCTTCGGGGCCTGCAAGGACCCAGTTGGGGGGGCAAGAGGGCGCTGGGGGATGGTTGGTGGTGGGCTTTCTACTTTGCCTTTTCCTCCTTATGCCCCCTTAGTGAGGGGCGGGAGCTCTGGCGGCAGCTCCGGGGTGGGGAGACAAGCCCCGGAGTCGGAAGAGCTGGGTTTGCTTCCGGGCCTAGCCACCAGCTGGCCGAGTGACCTTAGGCAAATCACTCTGTAATTTGTCGGCGCCTCAGTTTCCTCCTCTGCCTATCAATGTTTGTGGGGTTGAAAGCGCTTTGTAAAGTATAAAGCGTCGGTGTACGTAAGGGATGATTATTGTTTGTAATGGGGTTTTTTTTTTTTTGAGTTGTAAGAAAAGTTAGCAATTGCCCAGTTTTTGGATTTTGAACCTGGGAACCTTGGATTGAAGTTGGAGATCCCCCAAACTCCCCAAAATTGTATGTAGAAATAGTGGGAGTGTGCATTTTTGGGGACTGAGGATCCATCGCCAGCAAGTTATCAAAGGGGGCTGTAACACAGAAGAGTTAAGAACTACAATTGTTTTATGCCACAGGGAGGAAACTGAGGCCTAGATGTCATTGGGACCCTTCACAACCGATTTGAAGCCCCTGTTTGAATCCCTGGGATATGTGAGCTGTTTCTATGCATAATGGATATTTGGGGTAACAACACTCCACTGCTTGGCTTCTATTCTGAGTCATTTTCCTTTACCATGGGGTGCCTGAAGGGTGGCTGACACGTTGGTATGGTTCAATGGCACCCAACATAAAGCAGCTAAAACTAGAAATGGGTGTGTTCTCTAGTATCAAGAAGCCTGTTGAATCTTTGGCCCAGCAATTCTTAGTGTTCTGCTGCTTATACTGGTACCTGACTACCTTTCTCTTTCATTGACCATTTTCCACAACCATGGTTGCCATCCATTACTTGCTTCTATTTTATATTCTTAGTCTGTGCGGTTGGTACTGAGCAGGCTTATTTTTAAATGGTGCTGCCGAGTCCAGCTAATTAATGGTGCAGGTGGATTTTTAGGAAGCTGACTCACTGGTACAGACTAAACCAGGCATGGAATTCCTGAAGATGTTTGGGGGTTTATCTTTATTAACTGAAGGTTAACACTCTCTGAAGAGTTTTGTTATGACTTCTGCTGAACTTCAAAATCAGTAGATTTGGAAGTGTTTCAATGCTTAACTTTTTCCAGGCCTGCTTTGTATTCTATTTGCTTGCAAGTGTGTTACTAAGATGGCCAAAATGCCAGTTATTGCTTCTTTGTTAATTGTCAGCTGCTTTTATCAAATTCCAGGCCATTGTCCAGCAAACACTATAGAAATGTTTGAACAGTTGGATTTCAAACATTTTCATTTTGTGGAGTGGTGCTTACCAGTGGTACAGCTCTAAGCAAGTGAACATAAACACATTTAAGTGTATTTTGTCTGGTTAGGTGTTTACCTGTTTTGTTATTTCATACAAATGTCTGAGAAAATCAGTTGACTATTCCTTTTACGTAAAGGGCAAAGACAAATGATCTCACTTCCAGAGAAAGGACTGTTTTGGAAAAAAATATGTTGGTCTTTTAGCTCTTTTGTTATTATCTGGATGTACCTCAAAAGAATCTTAAGACTGTGGTGATCTTATAAGATGCTTTCCTCGGGAGAAAGGAGGAAAAAAACAACTGGAACTCAAAGCTTGAAATTCTGTGACAAAACATGAGATGTCCAGGATAGGAGGCCGAAAAGGTTTCACTACAGTGTTCTGCACTAGCTGGAGCAGATGCTTTTCTATGTAGCCACGGCATGGACTCCAGATTTCCAGATTTTCAACACCTGGGACCTGAAGAGCGTGTCAGGATGTGACTGGAACTCTGGAGCTGAATATTTTTGGTTTTGAATTTGGGGGCTGTTGACCTTTCTTTGAGAAGAGACAGCAACTGAACAAGCACTGCCACCAGCACCATTACTGGGAATTTGAAGACCTGAGTCTCTGCCAGACCTTCAGTGCAAACTCTAGCAACACTCCATCAAAAGTGAACTACGGTACTTGCCATTTTCCAAAATGCCTCATTCTTTACTTACCATCTCTGCACTTTTGTTCATGCTCTACTTTGGAATGTATTCCTCTGGTTCTTCACCTGTCAGAACACTGCCATTTCCTCAATATCCACGTCAGATGCTCTCTACTTCCATGAGACTTCTTAATTTTATCTTTTTTTAAGTTTTATATTCTGTTGTTTAGCTTTCAGCTATCTTTGCATAGCATACGTTATAAAGTAGTCATTTGCAAGCATTGGCTCTTTTTCCAGATAGCAAGCCCCTTGAAAGCAAGGGCTTTGTTTTAAGGATTTTTGCCCGCATGTACTACCTACATATGATGGAGCCTTTCTTAGAAAGGAGTAATTTAGAGAGCGAATTTATAGAGAGCGGGCTATCGGAATAAACACTCAGTAAGTGTTTGGTTAATTGCTGTGTGGTAACCTAATTACTTTTGATTAGGAAAAAGATCACTAGTTATGGATCATGTTTCTTTCTGTGTTTCATGGTGGGGTTTTTTTTTTTTTTTAATTCTAAATTTAAAAAGATTAAGGGAGCCCTCAGACATGAAGAGAAACTGAAAGATTGCATAGGGTATTAACAGAAGGGTGCAAATACCAGGGTCTTATTCGCCGGGTACCTTATTCTCTCCCACACAAGATGAGATCTTGTTAAAATGAAAGTTAAAGACAGCTTTTAAAAAAGTACAGGTCGTAAGATAATTTGAGGAAAGCATTGGAAAAGGAAGAAGGACAAGATCTCCTTTGGTGTTGGTATGTATGATCAGTTCTTCTTGTGCTACCAACGGAGCCACTTCTTTCTCCCCAATCAGGCACTACTCAGCAGCCTGAATACAATCAAATCACTCCCCCAAATTACGAGACTTAGGGCAATTCCTGTTTGCTGCTTCCCTAAGACAGTTTGTTCTCAAGAGTCAGGAAGCACTCCCTGCCCGAGAACAATTATCATCACTGATTGTTAATCAGAAAGCTTTTTTTACTCCCCATTTATCATTTTTCAGCTTCTTAGTTAGGCTTATTGAGAACGAGTACCCATCAGGCAGCTGATATGTTGACAGCACACCCACCCTAGTGTTAGTGTCCTGTGTTTGTAATTCCATGCATTTGTTATCTTACCTGTTTTGTTCCTGTCCCTTCCAGTCCTGTGCCTCCTGATTGCTGAGTGTTCACCTGGACCTTCTGACCACCTTCCTTGTACTATTCCATCAGCCTACAGATCTGGTACCTGGATTTTTGCCCTTGGTGATTCCTTCACCTTAACTGCTGACGAAGACACCATTCCAGTGGACCACTGTGATCCAAGAGGCATTCAACCATCATGATGTGGCCTTCACCTCCACTCCTGTCCTGTTCCAGCCCAGATTCAGCACAGCCCTTTATAGTGAAGTCAAACTTTTAAGTCAAGTAGCTGAAGCTATCACAACAAAGGCCCAATTTGTTCCTTGAGTGTGCATTTCATTTCTTCAGTTAAAGCCTTCAGAGACACATAATAAATTTGGACCAGAGGATTTTTAGTTACCAACACTGAAGAATGACAACATCTTTTCAAGAACAGCATTGGACCATACCCCACAATTTCAAATGATTGAAATTCATGAAGTGTCTAGGATCCTCTCCAGGTCACTGGATCTTATTCTTTTTCCACTTCAAGTCTATAGTAGCCTACTGAATAGAAAGCAGATATTCTGACCAGCAGATATTGGGATTAAAACAAAGGCACAGTGAACTCATAGCATCTTTGGGATTACTCAGGAACCAGAACTTTTCACACAAATTTAAGGAATTCTACCAAGGAATCCCTTTATCTAACAGCTTCTCACAAACCTGCAGTCAAATTCCAGAAAAGGCATCTTGATACATCCAGGTAGAACATATAATGGTAATCCCTTATGTTTATATAGCACTTTATAGTTTCAAAGCACTTTTACATGCATTAATCTCAGTTATCAAAATAACACAGTAAATTATAATCCCTTTTTGCAAATGAGGAAATGGAAATTTAAAAGGTTATCCAAGGTGACACGGCTACAAAAGTGGTAGAGGTCAGGCCTTCTGACTCCCAGTCCAGTTCTCTCCATGGAATTTACTTAGCTTCGACTTTACCCTGCAGTGTTAAGATGACTGGAGATTGGTAACCCCAGAAAAGTTTTCAACTTCCTGATCTGGTACCCTCAGACAGTCAGGATGTCATAAGTGTAATCTTGTGATGGCTGTACCTAGACCAGAATTCCATGGCAATACCCCTAAGGTTTAAGAGTGGACTGTCTCAATAGTGGCAGATTATTCCAGTCAACAAGGC